TCTTTACCCCCGTATGCGATTTATGTTCCGGGGTAGGTGGCCCATGTTTTAGTATAAAAATGGGTACTGCCTATCCCAAACCATCATAAAAACCAAGTTTCCACCTCTCAAACCACTCAGGCCACTCCCAGGGGCCACGCCCACCCCAAAATAGCTGAAATCCATGTCAAATCCCATACAAATCCAGACTGATAATCTTTACCCCCGTATGCGATTTATGTTCCAGGGTAGGTGGCCCATGTTTTAGCATAAAAATGGGTACTGCCTATCCCAAACCATCATAAAAATCAAGTTTCCACCTCCCAACCCACTCAGGCCACTCTCAGGGGCCACGCCCATCCCAAAATTACTGAAATCCAGGTAAAATCCAGACCGAGAATCTTTACCCCTGTGATGCTTTTTGTTCCGGAGTAGGTGGCACATGTTTTAGTGTTTAAATAGGTAGTACTTGTCCCAAACCATCATAAAAATTAAGTTTCGACTTCTCAACCCTCTCAGGCCACTCCTAGGGGCCACGCCCACCCCAAAATAGCTGAAATCCATGTCAAATCCCATACAAATCCAGACTGAGAATCTTTACCCCCGTATGCGATTTATGTTCCGGGGTAGGTGGTCCATGTTTTAGTATAAAAATGGGTACTGCCTATCCCAAACCATCATAAAAACCAAGTTTCCACCTCTCAAACCACTCAGGCCACTCCCAGGGGCCACGCACATCCCAAAATAGCTGAAATCCAGGCCAAATCCCATACAAATCCAGACTGAGAATCTTTACCCCCGTATGCGATTTATGTTCCAGGGTAGGTGGCCCATGTTTTAGCATAAAAATGGGTACTGCCTATCCCAAACCATCATAAAAATCAAGTTTCGACCTCCCAACCCACTCAGGCCACTCCCAGGGGCCACGCCCATCCCAAAATAATTGAAATTCAGGTAAAATCCAGACCGAGAATCTTTACCCCTGTAGTGATTTTATGTTCCGGGGTAGGTGGAACTCAGGTCATATCCATTCTAAAATTACTGAATTCAAGGTGAAATGAAAATAGCTAAAATCTGGAAACCCCTACCCCTGTAATCGTTTTTATATGAGACTTTTTAAGACAATTCAATTTCTTTCAGATTGGGAGTTGCAGTGAAGTTCTGCCAAAGATTTTCTACGATGAGATAAGAATACCTAGACCTTACCTCTCGAACAATTCTCTGATATCACATCAAAATGTTAATTTGTTTTTATGTGAGATTAGAACCTTAAATTAAAATGTTTTATTTTTCAAAGAAAATGAAAATTTGCCCTCACTCCTAATTTCCTTGTTTCACTTGTCCTTGTCTCTTCTAACCGGATATTATCCAACTATGAGTACAAAATGACTTGAACTTACTATTAACATAATGATACCTCCACATGGTTGTTCTAACAAGCCATCCTACGGTTAGCCATTTTTATTGTATTACCACTAAAAAGTTGTTTAAATACTTGTTTCGGATAAAAAATGTGAATATGGGTCTGGGTCGGTTTCGAACTCGATTCGAGTCTCGGGTGATCATGTGAAGACATGACGCTTAGCGAACTTAGCTGTTAATTAGATACTCAAGGTACAATTTTAACTATCAAATTGACGTGCCCGCGCACTCCCTGCGCAAAGTTATCCTTCGACAGTACACATTTTTAGCCATTTTGGGGCGATTGCGCGGCACGAAAGCTTTAAACCTTCATAACTCTACCCAGGAACAGTCCCTAGAACTGATTAAGGTTGTGATCTCCGAGTCTGAGTGTGTACTTTAAGATGATATATGATTTGTCATACCTGCGTCCACACAGGAGAATCACAAATGGGTATAGTCGCGAACGCAAAGAAACCGCAGGGAATACTTCTCGCAACCACAAATCGGCGAGATGCGAAGGTGGAAGGATTGACATCATCAGTCAAGGGGTGCACGATAAAAATAAACTTGCTCGGATTTTAAAATTTTTGTACCAGTGTTCATGTTTTCTAGAGACTGTGAGAATATAATTTTCACAATACCAAATTTGTGATACCTTTTTGGAAATATCAGTGAGTTTCGTCTAGGTGCCATATTTGATGCCGCGCGGCTTTTGGAGCAAAAATAGCTGTAAAAGTCGCGTAATTTGACCAAATTCGTTGATTTTTGTTGTATTATTCGGATATATTTTCGGTTCCTTGAATGAGATCATTCTGAAAATTGGCGACAAGCTTCCAATAGGGCTTTTACAGCTGTCCGAAAAATTTGGTGGATATCAGATTTGAAATAGTGATCAAAATGGGGCAAAAACACGCTGCTTTTAGCTGTAACATAATGTCTAATGGTTGGATAGGCTATAAATTTTTTGGATACTTTCTTTGTAAGTCTATAAGTAAGCTTACCAATTTTTGTTGCAATCGGAGGTCGGGAAGGATACTCAATATCTATTTGTTTGAAGAAAATTGTGCTGGCCGAAATTAGCGCTAAAAAACCATCCTACAGTCGGCACGCGCGGCTCACTGATCATGGCGCACTACCTACTCTACACTCAATTGTCACGTGACTTCACTTCAACCCGTTCTCTAGCTGGCCCTGAACGACTATTCAAAACCATAACCCTTTATTTTGATCCTAAACCTAACCCTGGCCCTTACAGGTGGACAGTGACCATTGCCGAAATTATTTGTGTACATTGTTGAAATGATATTATTTATCGAATTATGAACAAATTTCCTTACACTGTAATAATATAGTCTTGGAGCTGAGACAGTCACCAACGAAATAGGTTTGTTACTAAATCATTTAATAAGAATTAAGGACTGTGTAAGCCGTCACGGGCTTTCAATACACAACAACGAATTATTGTAGCTAACACTCCATGCACCACTATAATCACTCCTTCGACAAGTTTCTGTAAATCAAATTATGATGATGATGAAAATCTTTTAAAAATAACTGGCTTCAATTTTAATAACAATAAATAGTAGCATTTTAATAACAATAAATCGTAGAGATCAAAAACTTTAATTTCCAACACAGAAATTTATAGAAACACACCTAACAAATTTTACCTTGTAAAGGCCACTGGTTCCCGATGGTTACTAAAACAAACTTTTTCCAAAATAAAAGTTTGAAAGCAGTCCATATCTGCTTTCCTGTGAAACAGCTCAAATAGAAAAACTCATTCCCTTGTTATTACAACAATATTTAATCTAGGTAAACTATAGGTAAAAATATAATATTAATCATAAGCTAAAATGTACTAATCTTTGTATTCTAAATGGGGAAAAAGAAGAAACATTGTCAGTCAGTCGAGAAAATTGTCAGTCAGGCTATATGGCAGCTTTGTAGATGTTGTGACTATGCTAGTAGTGGTCCCAGGCTTGCGACTGGAATTGCGGTGTTAAATCGATTTAATGGTACCAACGATCCACCTCCCACTTGTTGTTTGGTACTTAGCATTAATAGTGTTAGCTGTAGCCATTTATAGCAAGAATCTTAAAACTAAAGGGGATGACAAGGAAAAGAGGAAGGAAAAAGAATAACGGGACAAACAATTAATTAAAGTATTTATAGGAGTATTAGATATTGTAATTACAAGCTTCAATAATAAATCACTGACTAAAACTTCTAATTAAAATGACACTTGGTACGCTCGCCCATTTTCACTGGTCAGTCTGAACTTCGGTTTAGCACGTTGTACACTTATTCACCTAAGTTTCAGAATTTGTTCAGTTTAGCAGAGTAAGTACCCGTGTTTCAATAAATCAAAAGATATCAGGGGAGTTCTTTAATAATGTTACGGTCATCTAGAATACCGAACTTCCTAATTTATAGGTGTTTGTTTTCAAATAAACATAGTCCAATAACACTTTACTACACTTCCATATACTTGGTATTTCATCCTGTATCATAATAGTAGCAAAATTAGCAAAATTAAATGCTATAGTAAATCCTTTTCATTTCGAAAGATTAATCAAATTAATCTTATCTATCCACTGTCGCTAATGAGTACAAAGACCTTCAACAAATTTGATTCCAACATCTGATACGTGTTTGTGTAAAATCATATGCAAAATATTCTTATTATCTGGGTGATGATTTTAGTTTGAAATGGTTATTTCTTTAATTATTCTCTGGTTTCCAAAACCTGAGGAATGAATAAAAACTTATTTCTTTTTTTTCCATTTCTGTTGTTGCTAGGGCAACAATCTTTAGCCGAGACTTGTGACGGTATGTACTACAGGTGTATGAAATATACCAGACAAAATATCTTTCAATGTGCGGAGTGAGGTCTCACTCTACAGTCTACAGCTACCTACTTCATGGTCCATTATCTGACCCTGTACTCTTTGTATCAATAAATAATAAGTCTAAACAACAAATGTGTCAGGTAGTTAAGAAGAGGTAATTGTCCATTTCACAGTTATATTTCCCTGGTAACCCAATCTTCATTCAGCAGTTCTGCATTACCTTTAAAATGTGAACTGTCCACTACATGAAGTTCCTACATCGTTTTACCATGGTCATATGTTTTGCTGCACTGTTGGGTTGTTGTAGTCCCCATTTCTTCACTCGTTTCACTGCGGCATAGATAGAGAGCTTTTGTATTCTTGTGATCTGTTGAATGTCGAATTTTTCCAAAAAGCTTACATATTTCCATCATTAGGTCACAATTTCAAGAACACATGCACAGCTAATAAAATGTAATCTACACCATGCCCAAAACCCAATCTTAATCGATTACTGTCCTAATAAGAACTTAACTATCATTTTGACGGCCCCAACGTCAATGTGGCTCTTGCTATGTGTTGGTTCAGCCGAATTAATTATTATATAATCAAGTTTATTTTTTCTTTTCTAGTTGTCATCCGGCCACACAATAAGCAACTTATATTGCAGCACCATTTTAAAATTAGTATATCAAAATATGTCATTGTAATTTTGCATGGCTGAAATGTAACACTTGATTTATATATATAATAATTAATTGAATTTGCAAATAAAAAAGAAAAAAACTTCAGTGAAGCTAGTTAACATGTCAGAAAATAGTGGAGGAGGAAACTTCAACGAAGATTGGTATGCACCACAGCAACATACCTACCGGAGAAGACCAAGGAGCAATCACCACAATTCATCAGACAATAGAAGGCATCAGGGTAATCAACCAAGGCAACAGAGTTCCCAACCGCATCAAAGTTATCAACCAAGACATCATTCAGGGTATGGCCCTGCACAATATCACAATGGACATTCTAATGGTAGCTTCAACTTGGAAATGAGTGACAGATCTTATGGTAATTCGCCCAGAAGGCCAACTGGGCATCATCAAAATCGACAAAATTCATCACGCCACACCTACAAGAGGGACCGAGAACGTGACCACAAGCAAGAATCTAGAGAGAGCTCCCAGCGCGAGCGCTCTGGTACTGCTATTCAAGATAACCAAGCTACCTCACTGCGCCATCAGATTGAATCAAATACATATGAATGCATGGTCTGCTATGAAACATTGAACGCATTTTGTGCGACTTATTCTTGTATCCAATGTTACAATATATTTCATCTGACTTGTATAAGACAATGGGCTTCATCTAAACTATCTGATAATACTCTACCTGAGGATGCAACTGCTGATTGGAGATGTCCAGCTTGCCAACTCTCTTCCACTAGCCTTCCCTTTCGATATTTGTGTTTTTGTGCATCAGTTGTTAATCCTGAATACAAGTCATTCATATTACCCCACAGTTGTGGAGAAAAATGTACTAGAGTGAGAGATTCCTGTTCACATCCTTGTCCTGAACTGTGTCACCCTGGGAAATGTCCAGCATGTCCTGCATCGGTCATAACCTATTGTGCATGTGCAACAGAATCTAAAAGAGTGAAGTGTAGTCAGAAAGACACTCCTTTCCAGTGTGCCAAATCATGTGGAAAACTTTTAAATTGTAGAAAGCATCACTGCGAAACTATTTGCCATTCTGGTGTATGTGATGACTGTCCTGAATCTAATGAGCTAGCTTGTTACTGTGGAAAATCGTCCAAAGATGTTCCATGTGGGCTGGAGAAAGAAAGTATGGGTCTTGATCATACAGGTTATTGGTCTTGTTTTGAGAAATGCTCCAAGACACTGACCTGTGAGAATCACATGTGTCTTCTACGCTGTCACTCTGGTCCATGTCCACCTTGTGAAACTGATGCTTCTGCAATCACCAACTGTCCATGTGGTAAAACGAAACTTGAAAAAATAACTCCAGGTGTCAGACAGACATGCCTTGATCCCATTCCTACTTGTAAAAGAATATGCAAGAAACCACTTGATTGTGGAATTGCTGACATGAAACACTTGTGCCAGGCAATTTGTCACAACGGACTTTGTCCTCCCTGTCTTGACAGATCCATTGTCATGTGTACATGTGAATCGTCCTCAGAATCTATGTTGTGTTCAGACATACCCGAGGGAGGGCTGAGATGTGAGAAGGTTTGCTATAAAAAGAAAAGTTGTGGCAGACACCGTTGTAACAGCAAATGTTGTCTAGAAGATAATCACATTTGTATGATGCCTTGTGGGAAAATGCTAACTTGCAAAAAAGCACAAATGTGAGGAGCTATGTCACAGAGGACATTGTATGCCATGCTTGCTTTCAACATTCCATGAAGTTTACTGCACATGTGGTAAAACCAAACTGGATCCTCCTGTGGCATGTGGTACTGCTCCACCAAATTGTAATGAGCCTTGTGGCCGAGACCACTCTTGTCCTCATCCAGTAACTCATACTTGCCACTATGAGGAGCAGTGTCCTCCTTGTGCTCAACTCGTCAATAAAGTCTGCATGGGCGGACATACAGTGCGCTTCAACATCCCCTGTCATGTACAGGATGTCTCATGTGGAGATGTGTGCAAAAAGCGGCTACCTTGCAACATGCACACATGTGAGAGATGGTGCCACAAGAGTGCTTGTGTTCTTTCTGACAGCGTCTGTGAACTTCCCTGCTTAAAAACTAGAATTATTTGCTCTCATCCTTGTAATGCTAAATGTCATCTAGAGAAACCCTGCCCTCAAAATGTATGCTTTGAAAAGGTTAAAGTTGTATGTGAATGTAGGAGAAGGTCTATCATGGTTCTGTGTTTCAAAGGAGCTACTCTGACTTCGGAGACACCGGATCTTACTCGGTATAGTGCAAAGCTGAAAAGCGTAGGCTTGTCTCTTTTGCAACAAGATCTTCTGGACTATCTCAAGAGTGGTGTGGTTCAGTGTGATGAAAATTGCAAAGTTGAGGAGAGAAATCAGAGAATGGCTGAGGGTCTTGGTCTCAAAGATGTCCCTATTGATGCCATTATTGCTCCTACTTATTCAGAATTTCTACAAAATGAAGCCCGAACCAAGAAAGAATTCATTATCGAAATTGAGAATGTATTTTTTGATCTGATTACTAAGTACAAGAAAAAGAATCAGGCACTAGATAATTTCAACAAAGTTAAATTCATATATCACGACTTTAAAGTCATGAACAAAGAAAAAAGAAGAACAGTTCACGAACTAGCGGTACCCTACAAAATAACATCACAAAGTATGGATGAAGAACCTCACCGCAATGTTCAGGTTCGGATAGGATGGGATGCTGTGGAACCTTCGATAAAACTCTCTCAGTATTCTCAGCGAAGGGTTATTGGTGGTGTTGGAGCTAAAGCTACACAGAAACCAGCTCAGAAAGTAAAGGAAGATGCTCCGAATTTGCAAACACTTTGCTTGAGGACTATGCAGAGAGATGAAATAGTTTTTGACAGTTGGGAAGATATAGACGAGAATTAAATGTTTAGATAATCTGTTTTGTGGGACGTAATGGTTTTATTTTGTTTTAGATCAATAATTCATTTTAAGTTATTTGTGTTTGCCAGCGCTTTTTACACATTTTCATAATTCTATAATCGATGTGATGAAATTTATTGAATTTTCAATTTTTATAGAAATTTCATAATGCATGATAGGCTGCTGTGCAGTACGGATGTACTTTTGCTTTTGAATCTTCTAGTTTCAAATTAAATACTCTCATCATTGCTTACCAAAGTTTGAATAAAACATAATGATAAATAATGGCTTAATAATACAGAATGCCGCTTTGATTAATAATTAAATTCTGTCTTAATTATTAAATCTAAATGCTCATCGACCGATGGTTGTTTTAACATATCAGATATTGAATATAACCCCAAACACCTCTAAAGGATGTAGCTGAGGGGAGTTCAACTATGAGTGGCTAACTCACTCAGGTAACTAACCTAACTCGACCTAAAAGCCGCATGCTTCTCATTACATTGCCGGTACAGTATGCTCTGTTTTGGCCTATTTGCTAATTTCATGAGCACATGCTGCTCTTTCATTGTTTGGTTTTCTGATCGTCTGTATTTTTAATTGTTGTCCATAACCGCACAGTCTGTATCAAAATGCTCTTTATTTCAGGGTTGTATCTAAAGGAGCAACCGATACTAGAGAGTTACAGATCGTATAATGCAACGTGGAGAGCGGCGTGACGACAAGCATGACAAACAGAGAGGGGGACGGACAAGCGCCCAAAGCGGGCGCGGCACCGGCGGGCGCAGCTCTTCTAACTCACAACAGAGTATGTTCTCAGAGCATGAGCAATTGTACTTGATTTTCATGCTATAATATTCCTTGCTTTTCAATATTTACAATTGCATTGCGCTGATAACCCAATACTGTTATTTATGATCTTTTACTCGTGATATACAGTATATATTATATACATGTGTAAGCTTATCGGTTCAAATCTGAATGGTTATTTTTAATATATTTTTCTGTGCAGGAACTGTCTGCAAAAAGTCCTGCTAGCACTCCAATGTTGAATACTCTGTAATTTTACTCGTATTCTCTTGCAGGCGGAGCTCTGATGGTTGGACCTAACTTCCGTGTAGGTCGTAAAATTGGGTCTGGTAATTTCGGAGAGTTGCGTGTGGGTAAAAATCTCTACAATAACGAACATGTCGCAATAAAACTGGTTCGTTTGCCCCTCATTTTGTTGCTTGATTTAAACTATTTATCTTACAACTTACATTACTGTACATTCAAAGAATTTGTAGTGTCATTGCAGCTGCTTCAATTTATCCATATTTAAGCTTAATTATTTAGGAACTAATGAAGTCGCGAACACCCCAATTGAGTCTGGAGTACAGATACTACAAATCTCTTGGCCCTCACTGTAAGTCCCACACAGAGTCGATTAAAAACCGACATTTGTCGTCAGAGCCTGGATTGCTAGTCGTTTATAATTCACTTTATCTTCATATTATAACCTCGTTCATGAAAAGTTCACAAAAGATTATATTCGCTTAATAAATATAATATAAAAGACGTTGCCCGTAGTTACTCATAACCTTAGTCTAATATATAACCATACTGAGCCTGTATCACGCACAAGATATAACCTGGTTGCTGTTTATAACACTGAATTGAGAGAATCAGGAACTAATGTGAACCTTGCAGTGGGAGTACCCGCGGTGTATTACTACGGGCCCTGTGGCAAGTACAACGCTCTGGTGATGGAGCTTCTGGGACCCTCCCTCGAGGACCTCTTCGACCTGTGCGAGCGTACTTTCTCACTAAAGTGTGTCCTGATGGTCGCCATGCAGCTGGTACGTTTATTTCCAGTTCTTTTGTGAACTTAATAACAATACAATATTGAAGGTTTACTGATTGTACGATAATATTCTGACTTTTATCTGCCCCCTTATTTGAAAAGGCTGTAGACTCCTGATCTGTTGTGAGATCGTCTCATAACTCTCTTATCTACGCTTTAAAGTCATTGGTACGGCGCATAAACGATAAAGCAGCATTATCCACGTACACAATAGTACCACAACATTCTTAACATTCAAGATGTTACGTTACACTCATTTAGTACTTAACGCTGTACATTAGAGTTCACATACCAGGCTAGCTGTACAGTACTAGTAGTACTGAACAAGAGGGCACTACACCCTACACCTACACATTGTACATTACCTTGTCAGTATTTTAATTTGATATCACTGTACACACTACACGTTAAAAGAGTGACTTCACAGTTCACGGTGCAGTGGATGATGTATGTTTCATCACGTTCTCTAAAATAACATGATGTACGAAACACGCGGTAAATTACGTCAATGTACGTCCGCTAGCACATCGCCTTGTCTGTATACATCAGTATGTGTACACTGTACATTAGTATACACTGGTACTAGCAGTAGTCGTGTACCGTGTATACAGACTTCTAATTAATGCAATTATAACACTGATCCATGACAACTACCTACTACTCAGCGAACTTACCCTGTCTCTGTTCCAATAATGGTGTCAGGTGATGATTGTAAATGTGCGTATCAAATAGCATCACACAGCCACTGTTCTTGTGAATGTTTCTGAGAATGTTCCAATAATGGGGGACTGATAACGGCAAAATTCACGCGCATTTCTCACAGTTACGGTAAAAAGTTTAAAATTGCATTACGGTGTTCACATTTAATACAATCAAGTTATTTTGTGTAAGTTTGCCAACATTTATGACCGGCGTGAACATGGAGCTGAGACGAAGAGATAATTTACGCGCAATCATTTGAACAACGTCATATCATATCATTATATGATGTAAACTCTAAATCAGTGAGTTCGGCCATGTCCGGGCCTGTTCACAATTCCTCACGAAGTACCGGACAATGAAATTAGAATATATATCTATTTATTAGTTTGTTTTTATCTTTTCAGCTTCAAAGGATAGAAGTGGTACACAGTAGAAAGTTAATCTACCGGGACATTAAACCGGAGAACTTCCTGATCGGCCGGCTTGGTATGAAGAACCAGGATATCGTGCATATCATCGACTTTGGGCTGGCTAAGGAGTACATCGACCCTGACACGAAGAAGCACATAGCATACAGGGAGCACAAGAGCTTGACAGGAACTGCTAGATACATGAGCATATCTACCCATCTCGGCAGAGGTAACTTGTTTTATATTAACTCTCGGTAGATTTGTTAATATGCCCTCTTTTATTTACATATCTCGAAAGGTAGTATTGTTGAGACATCTAGTTTATTTTACAGTATTTTCAATTTTTAACACAATGATTCATGACTTATTCACGAGTTTTACTGGCAGAGGTACTAAAGATTTACATAGCATTAATGTTAAACTGCACTATTTATAGTCCCCAACGGTAGTTTTATATTTATTATAGTATTTTTATATGGGTTCAAGGGCTGTCTTACAGTGCTGCTATTCCTGGTAATCTGTAAACTTCAGGGTAGTAACAGTTCCATTTAGTTTTTAAACCTGTCTACATGACTCACCGCAGTGTCCGTATCAGTACTTACTTACCAAACACATTTAATACATTTAACATGTAGTGAGGTTCTCTTATATGACTTGCACGCGAACGTGTACAAATATTCCACGCCTTGAAAACAGCTATGTTTCACCAGCCGTCAACAAAACACGCATGCAAAGTGCGCTATGCGAATAGTGAACATTCCTTGTCAATATAATCACGGCTAACTCTGTACTGGAGTGGTGAAGCCGAAACTGGGAGTAGTAAATAGTCTTCATACCGCACTTACCTTCCACAGAACATGTTAGAATTGATAACAATAAAGATGATTTCAAAGGGTGTGCAGTATGTAAGGTGGCACGGTCGTCGCAAAGTCCGCTTTTTATAAGTAAGCCCACATTCCCCCAGCATTGTGACTCCCAGTGTAATAATGTGTTCAGTGTTATTGTATTAAAACCCCCACGCCCAATAGTATATTGTATTCAAACAATTTTACCGTCTGGCCTCATTTTAAACTGTCTCGGCTTCTAGCTTAATAAGTGGTTAGTCTCAAATTGTAGTTGCCGGTACGTGACAATGTAACCTGTATAGTTTATGTATATATAATATGTACTTAAAATCTGTAATTTGATGCTTCAAATTATTTATTTGAGTAAATTGGTTTTATTAGCATAATAGAAATTTACAAATTTATTTGAGTTCCTGTATAGTTTTAACTCCCAATTTTCCTTGAGTCATAATCGCAACCTTTCACTGAATGTGAAATCAACTTCTTGCTCTCCCTCCAATCCCTGACACTATTAAACCAATACTCCTACTCCGATCTAATATTCACCGAAACACACACACCTCAGCTCAGCTCAGCACTACAATAATATGCTAAATTGATTTATATGTTCAACTTCTTCGCCGACCTGTCGGATAATTCGTGTTGGTTATAAAATGTTGGTTGCGTTAGGATTTCCCATTACGGCATAATTACATAATATAATATAAGTTGCACTGTTAAAAAGGTGACTTGAACTTCATGGATCCTACTAGCCTGATAACATTAAAATGAATAATAATTAGGGTAAAATGAAATTATTGGCGGAACTGTCGATGTAATATCCGTGGTGTTCTGTAGGTAAGAAAACATGATATGTGAAGCATAAGTATAAGCAAGTAACGAATAATGTACTAATGTGTAGTGTTTTGTAAGCTATAATTAGTGATTCTAGAAACGGATATTTTGTGTGTGTTAACACACAAAGACAAAAGATGATCGGAAGGTTTACGGCGACTGGTAACCTGACCAATGACAAATCATAGTCTAAAGTTTTCAAGACCACTGTTTTTCTTCTGTCACGATACCTATTCTTGATGCATGACCTCGTTGACTCGTCATGTTACTACTACTACTACTAGGTCGGAACTAAGTCCGAGCTACGCCAGAAAACCCCTAGCCTCCAGCTCCATACATCCCTGTCCCGCATCAGGGTTCTCAGTTCATCTTTAGAGTTTGTCCCAACTTTCGTCAGTAACATAGACAAATAGCTTTGTCATGCTGACAGCCACTATTTTCAGAACAGAGCAGAAGAGATGACCTGGAGGCGCTGGGATACATGTTCATGTACTTCCTACGTGGTGGTCTCCCCTGGCAGGGCCTTAAGGTACGTGCGAGAAACTTTAATGTCATTATCTTGTTCTTTAGTTTTGTATTTCCTACATGTTTCAATGTGTCCCAGTAGGTAATAAAACACCATACTCACAGACGAAGTTCACATTTCATTTAATATGTGGGATTAGATATGGCTTGAGACGAATTTGCACTCCCCCGGTAAAAACTGTTAATTGTTAGATTTATATTCCAAGCGGAGGTTAAATGCTCCAAGAAAACGTGTAGAAATAAAATGTCCATAATCGAATCAGTCGCTGTTCAGTGAAGTTGGATTGTTCCGCTCTCTGATAAATTCCAAATAAACCTGTTCTCAGTATTTTCATTGTGTCCGGGAGTGATTTTCAAACTATGTACACACCTCACAGTTGTTAAATAATGATCGCCGTTCGCGTTGAATGCTCTGCTTGGCATTTAGAGTCTAACAGATCGTGCTTTTGTTAAAAATCTCTCCTAGTTTTTACTTTGCTTGTCACTAGCTTCATTTTTGTGCACGTGCATACTTGTTAGCTGTCTGAGTGGTCCGGTGACCTAACACGTGGACATGTGACATAATAGTCACGTGATCATTTCAGGCTGACACACTGAAAGAACGATATCAGAAAATCGGGGAGACGAAGCGCAGAACGGCTATTGAAGAGCTCTGTGCCAATTTCCCTTGTTAGTAAATTTGAATAATGACCATTCATTGCCTAATTATCTCTATATAGTTAGGCTGACATTTGATATAGAAATATGTAAGATTAAGTAATTGTGCCATGCCTTTGGCTCTGTTCAAGTCATACGTATTTAAATTCTGGCGCACGTCCAAAACGAACCTCACTATCAACATTTCTTTCAGCGGAGTTTTGTACATATCTTCACTATGTCCGGAATCTGGACTTTTTCGAGGTTCCCGACTACGCCTACCTCCGCAGATTATTTCAAGATCTCTATGAGAGAAGTGGTTTTCCCTTGGATGGGAAATTTGATTGGTCTGGCAAAGTTGTAAGTTCATGAAAATACTTAAAAACTTTCAATTGCTCAATTACTTTTCCTTAAGATTTTATCAAGCCACGGTATTAGAAATCTTTCTTTACGTTTCATGCAAATTTATATCTAAATATTCTGCAAATCTCTTTAAAACCGAACCTTGCGGCTTACTTGGACATTCATTAAGTTACCTGGTCACAGCTCATTTAGTGTACATCAGCTGCGCTTCTAGAAGCTATGTAACTATATGTATGTTCAGTATTCTGTAACTCACAAACTCCTAACCTCAGCATCTATTAACGCGTGACAGTGACTGGGGTAACCCCACTGAGTCACGTGGTCACCACACTCCGCACAATACCGCACAGAACGGTGAGATCCGTGAGACGATGCAGCTGTCGCCGGCGGTCCAGCAGCGCGGCGGCACGGGAGGTGCCACTCAGGCTCACGCTGACGCTACTAGCGAAAACAATACTAGGTGGGTCTTTATAGAATGTCATTTCAGTCCAGTTGGAATTTTGCAATTTCTCAAATATGGGTTGATCTGATTTATATGGTTGAATTATATTATGGATGATTTATACGGTTGAACCGTAATTTGAGTTCTTTAGTATGATCTTTAAGATGATTACTTCTAGAAATTGTAACGTCATGCCATATTTATCAACATACGAATACAGCTCCAGTTCAATCGGATATTTAATTTTGGGAGTGGCACTGATGACCGAACCAAATATTGAGTCAAGTAGGCACCCCTCCTAATATCAATATATAACAGATCTAGAAGAAATTTTGTTCCATCACCGATTTTTGAGAACATGGACAGACATGCCAGAAGAACCGTGAGAGAACAGTTAAAACTTCTGCTGACTGAGCTACTCTCTGACATATTATAGTTGATATTGGGCCCAGCCGTGCCTGTATTACTCACATGTATATACTATCAGTATAAATACTACACCACCACCACCGCCTTGGACATCACATTAGTGTTATATAGACATATGGCACGATATTTGAACTGGATAAGTACAGCACTGCATCTATATTTTGTCACTATGATTTCTTATTAAGAGGTTCATATCGTACTGAATTAAGACTTTATTGACATGGCAGCAGGCAACTAATGCTCGCATTACGATATATAAGTTGCTACACTTTAAGTTTTATTTAGTAACACTTTTTCTCCGTGTTTAAAAGCTTTTAAAACTTCATAATGGGGGATAAAAGCAGGTCGAGAAGAAATTGTGTCCAACTCACTGATAAAGTAGCTCCATGGCAACTTTCAATGGTTTCTTCACTTTTTATATTATATCGGGTATATCCAGAGCTGGAGGTAGAGTCCATGGTATTGTAACTTCTTAATATCACAGTGCCCTTTCAAGAGTAGCTGGTATTTTAATGCTCTGTTCTCAAAATTTGGAGGATAATAACCTGTCAGCTTTGCTGCCACTGAATATGAAATGCTAGGAATCATATAGTTTCATGATTCATTTTCAAAATAAGAGTTCAATGATTCATTTTCTTCGCCGTATTAATCAGATTGAAATACACCTTTCTGGAAAGTTCTAAAATAATCGGTTTTCACGGATGAACGAGAGCATTGATTACTACAATGTCCCATGGCCTGGAGCTGGTACTTGGTAGATCATGTTTTAAAGATCATGACATCATCTATTATGATTAGGTATTTTGCTCACACAACTATTAAGTATAGATTGTGGTTAAAATGCTCGAAGTAAGCTAGCTTTACTTCAACAAGCTCCTCTGCTGATAAATTCCACAGTGTTAGGTAGACTGCAATATATACATACTCAACATAGTTTTGCGATCTTTGTGCAGTTATATCGTCACGCCATATACCACATTTGTCTGTCTACGAGCTTCCAAGAATTGTAAAAATGAATGGTGAAGGTTCTCCACGAACTTCCAGCAGACTTTGTCTCTAATTTTTTCATTGTTCTCTAATTTTTTCATTGTTCTCTAATTTTCTCTGAAGAATGTTTTCTTTGGCTTTAACGCCACAAGAAAATGTTGAATAGCAATGGAATTTTTAGTTTTCAGCACTACAAGCATTTCGTATAAACGGTAACGCAAATATTTGGGTGTGTTGATACAATGTGGTGACATGGTTTAGACCACGTTTAAAGGAGGAATTCTGAATAGATTTTTTAATTTTTAAGTCTTAGAAAACCCGGCCAAAGCGATTAATATAAATAATATTGTGGAATTCTTTTTCTTTAAGTTATTCGTGCCACACGAGAAATATATTAGATGGACTTTTTATACTTTTAAAATAATTTGAGCGACTGGCGTTAATTTCAAACCTCGCCTTTCTTCGCAGGTTCTGTTGCTTCGTCAAGAAAAAGAAAAAGAAAAAGAGCACCTCTCAGCACATTTAACACACCTTGAACCACCACCTCTTCTTTTTACCCAACCCAATCTTGCGGAAGAAAGTAGAGCTTCGAACACAACATGTAATCGGGTCAAGTGATGACGTCACGTGATGTTTTGAGGAGCAGGTGACGTCACGTGTACAATGTACAGAGTCACGTCATCATTCGTGTGTTCTCAGTTTAGTCAGATGAAATATTGCACGCACGCAAACTTGCGGGGATTATTAAGCAGACAATTGTGTACATTGATTTTATAACCCTTAATTAACTAACGCAAGATATTCATGATATTTAAAAAAAGTAACTGATGATCTTATATATATATCCTGCCGTACTTACTGTTAGTAGTCGAAACTGTTATATGTCTGTAATTTTTAGCCCCCTTTTGGTTATGGTAATAAAATTTGGGTTTAAATTCATATTATTGATAATGATGCATATTATTCAAGTTATGAATAACGTATGTATACCAAACTGTCTAGAGTTTATAAGTTTTGATTACGCAATATTCAAGACATATTAGGGATTTGAGTCCAAAGAGAATTCAAAGATCTTAGTAAATACAATATTGTACCAACAGAAATCTTACTAAATGTATTGTACATTTTTAAATTATAAGGTTACATTAGATCCTTATCCTGATCAACTTGATCGTACATCATATAAAGCCTAAAATATTTTCTCCTTAAACCTGATTTTAGTGCAATACTACTCTAACTTAAAATCTTGTATATTTATACCGTTCTCAGCTCGTTTAGTGTGGATTTTTGGTAACAACAGTTTGCATATCTATCTCTCCAATAAGTTTTGGTGTCGATTTGTCAAACGCTACTACAAAGATTCGTTTCGTTCTCAGAACGGAGATGAGAGTTGAAATAAGAATGTTGTTTTGTTTGTTGTGGATTCCACTAAGATTGCTCCTTGTAATTACGTGTTAATGGCATTGCTGCACTTCAAACTCGACCCCTTCCCACACACACACACACGCGTAGATACTGTTGTAAACAGTGTACTACCAGTGTAAAGTACACACCACGTGTACAAATTGTGCTCTTCTGAAGTTTAATCTTTTGTACATAGCATTTTCCACGGGCGAGATTGCTCTCTCTCCCTTTCTCTCTATCTCCGGGCTTGTTTTGATACTGCAGCAGTGTCCGGAAATTAGCTGTAAGAAGACTGTTGAAGTAAATATAATGTGGACCGTGGCAGATCAATCATGAAACTTGTGTCTTATTTTCTAAAACAAAATTTGATTAAAATTTACTGTAAAATTACCGCCAATTTCACTTGACTATTTTTGCACCTGAAAATTCCATATAAGGGCGTGTAGTGAAGTCAAAGAAGGCGTGTACGCGCAGTGCAGGCCAGTGTGACAAACACCTTCATGTATTTCACTAATATACAAATGTACACGAACTTAAAGACATGGGCACATTCCGCTACTGACGTGCGAACCCTCGACATACCAAGATATCTACATATAGCGCACTCGTTACAGAGATATGTGAATATTAAGGGCCCATTAGTACCAGGCGGTAACGTCACCTGTTCTCTCTCTCTTGTTGTGTAGCATTACTCATTTTATTAGAACCGTTATACACGGAAATAGTTAGTTTGGAACATGTGGCGGCCCTTCATGTACACTTTGTGACCTTAATGAAAGAATTAGGTAGTTTCAAACGATCACAACTCATTCGATCAGTTATTTCACTCTGGAGGCTTCAATAATTTCAAGCCTCTGATAGTTGATCACAAACGTGACTATTATTAACTACTGTATTCAGAGCCCAGCACCACCCATCTACTGAACGTTTGCACAAATCACATTATATATGTGTTCTTTAATGACACATATATAATATTCATCCTTGTGGTTCACGATATATGTCTAATGTGCGGTATTGGCTGTTCCTCACGTCTAATATAGGTGAGTCGTGACTTGTGTGTGTGTACAGCTAACATTATTAATTGCGCTAAGCACTGAATATTACGGGTTGTACTTTGCTGGTTTCACAGCAATGTACGGGAGATATATCGTACACATATTATGCACATGTTCCTTAAATCTTGATAATATCGGATGTAATGGTGCTGTGAAGGTTCGTGTTTGCCATGATACATTACTCACAGTGCAACCCATGCTCACTATCTTAACATTTCATGAATACCACCGTATCATCGATATTTAAAAAGTTGATTAGCCTTTACAATATAAGTGTAACCATTATGACGATACGTACCAATTACTGTTTATATGACTGTAATGAACAAATCATGAATGATCAGTTTTATGCCAATTTAGCATATTTTGGTCTGCTCTTACGTGTTAAACAAAGGTTTAATTGTTCACTAGTAAGGCTGTAGATCGCGCTGCGTGAGGCCATTCTTTGGCAATTGATATATTGATAACATATTGATGTGAAGTTAATTGGAACACCATGGTTTACTCTATGAAATATACTGTAACCGCTAATATAACTCCAATATTCCCAGTGTGTATGTTGAGTGGATTAAGAGAGACACTGCACTCGGTGCGCTCTTTTCAAAATGTCAGCTACGTGTTGGCACACGTCCGTTCTATTCAAACCACCTCCGCTACTCTTAAAACCCATTATGAAACTCTGGGTGTCAAATACACAGCCACTCCCAAACACATAAAAGCAGCTTACTTCGACCTGGCAAAGAAATGTCATCCGGACGTTAATCCGGGTGACGAGAGCAAAGAACTGTTCCAGAAGATCAGCCAGGCTTACCAAGTTCTCAGCGATGAGAAGCTACGGCAGGAGTATACTGCTAGCTTGGACCACGAGGAGGTCACCTTCAAGTCTGATGCATACCGAAACGAAAGTCCTGAATCTGTTTTCAAGTCAGCATTTGGAGTGAACTTTGATGAGATGTTCAGCGACAGGTTCGGATATACAGTTGAGAAGGACAACATAAGGGAGTATATCCTGGGTATATCTCTCTTTGAGGCTGTCATGGGTTCAGCTAAGTATATAGAGATAAACACGCATCAGAGATGTATGAAGTGTAAAGGTTATGGGGCAGCACAGGGGGCTCCTAGTACTCGGGTGGATTGTGCCAGATGTTATGGCAGTGGTCAAATTCCATACAAAAAACCCGTTGATGTATCTTGGATGAAACCGTATGAAAACCAGAAATTACCGGAATTTACTACTTGTGGAGACTGTTTGGGTAAAGGTTATTACATATCTGAACCTTGTTTAAGCTGTAACGGTATAGGAAGGGTGGATGTTTGTCAGTGGCATCCTGTTTCAGTTCCACCAGGGGTCAAACATGGCCAAGTTCTGAACTGTCCTGGCATCGACGGTGCACCTATGTTAATCACAATACACATTATACAAACACCAGATATTCTATTCGATTACGATCATGAAGACAATGTCAGATCAAAGATAGCGGTACATTACAGTACGCTGATCCAAGGTGGTCACGTGCATGTAAGAACTATTGATAACGAATACCATACATTGTACATTCCTCCAAACACACAGCCGGGTACTGTCATTGAGTTGGAAGAGTTCGAACCGATCCACGTGTTTGTTGTTGAGCTGTTCATGCCCAAGTCTGATAACTTAACGTCATATCTAGATAAGACTTACAAGCATATTCTTGCGGAAGAGGAACGGCATTTGACTTCGACAGACACTCCTATAAGTACACACTATTGTAAAACTATCAAACTAGACTCGTTGTCGAAGTTTAAATTATTTAGGAACGATGTGTTCAGTTATACTTTCGTTCCGTTGTATCGGTTATTTATTCATTGGCCTGTAACTGCTTTGTATAGTTGGGCTAAACGGACTAAAAAGTTAAACCGATTCGTTCAGTTTTTAGATGGCGCTAAGGGTCACACTTTTCATTATCCTATGAACAGGAAGAATTCGTTGTAGAACTTAAGGCAATGTTTGCCACTTTGATAGTAATTATGTAAATGAAATTTGCGTAGACCTCGGAGCCCGTTCTCCTTTTGAATGAAACTGTTTGCATAATTTTGTTCAATTGCGCGGCTTAATATTGAAGCTTAAAATGTCAACATTCAGCCAAAATTTCTAAGAAGTACGCATGAAAATAGCCAAATCGTCAGCAATTAGTGTGTGCGCGTCGTTCAATTCTGCCGAATAAATTTGCGCGCGCACAACAGCCGAACAAATCAAAACAGATATTTCAGAGGCTGCATTTCAAATTTGAGCATGAAGCAGTAGACAAGCAATCCGAAAACACACATGGGTTCGCATTGTACACTCACCATGAGGAAACTGAATTTCGTCCCGGCCCAGTTGCGCGGATCGATAGTCACGTATTTTAACCTAGAGCCGCGCACGCAAATCTAAATTCTTAATACATTTTTTTGATTTTGGGCGTTTTCAACCAGTTTTAATGATATGATATATAACATTTTTCAAATAGTATACACAATACACATAATGTCACGATGACCATATATAAAAATAACTCTTCAAAAACTCAATATTTTGAAAATCACCCTTCAATGCCCTTCATGGCCTTGCGGCTCCAAGTTCAATTCTAAACTGTCTATATTGACAAAGTTCTTTCTCGCCCCTCTGTGTTCATATTAAATTGAACACAATTCGACGGCAGAATACTGCGGCTACACTTTTGCGTTTTAATATTTGCCTTTTCGGGCAGCGCACGACTGATGATGCAACGTGTATCAAGAATTAATATGCAATACAGTTAAAATTGCACTTCGATCAATACCTGCTCATCTTGAAGGCAAAAATATGTTAATGCAGCTACTTCCAACTTAAATATCCATGGACGTACTACGAGACAAATTCTTTTACAAAAGTGAAAGCCTTTGTCAATGTGCCTCAAAAGTTGAAAGTGATCCTAAACGATTCCCCGTTCAATTTTGGTCGGAGAACGCCAACTCAGTTAAGTGCATAACCAAGGAAATTATAGACATATTTCATACGTATCAAATTGGATGTGCTTTTGGCGGAGATATAACGTGCGCCTAAAAATATTTACACCCCAAGTTAAAAATATAAATACATTATTTTAAAAACACTATCAAATAAGGTGGTTGATCAATCACTTGTGTCATTACGACGACGTCGCTATATCAAGTCAAAATATTCCCCAAAATAATTTAAAGACGATTCCCGATCGAAAACGTTATTGGTAGAAAAAGTTTCTCAAGTTACATAAATATCAATGGAAATGCAATTTTATGGATAAAATCAATAAAACTTACAATACAAGTAAAGCCCAAAACAGAGTAACACACCCTAAATTGGTTGAGACTTGAGATGTGATACATCCAAGCAGTCTAAGTAGACAATAATATCATGTGAGTTAATATAAAACTAGCTCCAATGTTCATGTAACCAGACAGGTTCTACCAATCCAAAGAGTAAATTAGGTTTCCATTCAGTCAGTAGTTAAACAGTGTCTAGCACTGGTCATGGTCATCCTAAGAGGGACTCTCCATTTATTACAGGCCTGGGTAATACTGTTCGAAACATTTTAGTTAAAAAATTTGCATAGAGTGGCCTTTTAAAATTATATGTACTAAGTACTTATTGACTTATATTATATTATATATGCAACTATATAGTTGTCACTGATGATAGCATGCTTTCATGATTGAAAAAATTTTTTGAGGGGGCCTTATTGCTGTCTTATCAAATTCATGTACGTTTGTTAATTGCTCTTGTTATCAGCATCGCACAGCCTTGCTTAAATCGAGTACAACGTGTACATCGCTACTTGTACATAATGAGCTATACATTGGAATCCCTGCATCGATTGGAGAAGGACATTCGGGGAACTTTCGATTCGTTGACTGGAGCAGCTAAGTGTAAAAACATCACTGAAGTTACGAAGCATGTTCTTATGAAAGGGAACAATGTCAGCAAAGACTCACTTGCTGGATTTATCATGGAATTTGTTAAGATTGTAAACTGCAGCACAGACATTCTTAAATCTGCGTCATCAAATATTGACACTTTGAAATCTGATCAGATTGTAAATCAGAAACTTATGTTGGAGCTTAAGGACGAAATTATTCAGAAGAAGGACAATCATGTTCAGAAAGTTCTGGAGGTCGTCAAAACAGAAGTTAAATCGTTTAGCGACATAGTGAAGCAGAACAGTCCACAGATCCCAGGCAAAACTTTGCAAGCGGCTGTGAAATCAGCAGTTGACAATGATAATCGCAGTCGCTGTGTGATGGTATACGGACTCAGGGAGGATCCTAAAACCAATCTTGATACAGTTGTGGGAGGTATGCTTAGTGAAATTGCTGGAGCAGAAAAACCCTTCGTGAGGGAATGTTACCGTCTGGGAACTGCGAAGCCTGGCCAACATCGTCCAGTCAGAGTTTGCTTCAGCCGATCAGACTCAGTTTCTGTTGTGCTCAGTAATGCTAAGAACTTGAAGCAGTCGTCACAGTTCAATAAAACATTTCTGAGTCCTGATCGATCTCCTGAGGAGAGGCTGATACGGAGAAAACTTGTTGAATCTTTAAAAGCAAAGATGGAGAAAGAGCCAGAAAAGTATCACTTCATACGAGGAGGAGAGATCTGCACCACTGAAAGGAAAGTGACCCCGCAACACAGCACGGAAAAGAAGACGATTCCACAACACTCAGGATTCTCGATTCCGCAACATTCAGGATTCTCCACTTCGAGTAATCGTGCTGCTGGCCTCAACAAATCTTTTACGCAGGGACCATGGATTCCAGGAACACTGTCCATTAGTACTCCGATGAAAAAGCGATGAATGTCGATTTGCCGTGATTCTAGCTTTGTGTGTTATTGTGTGATTTCAATGCACGGCAATGAAGGGACTCAGGTACCACGATCTGGCAGACAAACATGTCTGAACAGACATAGCGAGTCAGATCTGGTTCAGGAAATTTTATCGTTAAAGAGATATTCATATTTCATATGAATCAATACTCAGGTTTCTAATTTTGGACTCGCCCGGGGTTTGATTATGATACTTTGAGGAATGATGTTTTTGCTGACATTTGATTTATAAGTTGATTTCAAATCCCCTATGGGTACCAGAAATACTGGTTTCACAACAACAACATTATCCAATTCTTATTACCAGGTAACAGTTCAATAAAACAATAAGTTTTCTTTTCAAGGGATTATTTAATCATATGACTCCTCTTCCATATCGTAGGTTTCAAGTTCTAGGAACAACGAAATGGAGAATGTGTTATTTCTGACTACTCATGACAGCAATTTTTATGGTCGACTTGGCCCAACCATCATTACCACCACAAACAGGTCTCGCGATGCTGTTGGTGAAAGTGTAATGGATTCTATGATGAGAGACATCGGTGCAAAAATACGGCAAACTGGCAGAATTCGCGATGATCGCCTTGAACCTGACACTTGGTATTCATCTGAAAACATTGCTCAAGTAACCTGTAAAGTAGTTGGTTTAGGATACAATGTTGCTTCTACGTCGAAGGGCGGGGAAGAAACACTTGTTGTAATGCAACTGAGATCTGATCTGGTAACACTAACAGGACCTGTGAATACGTAAATATGCAAATAGAAAATACTATAACAAACGTCGATGAAAGCTCAGATCTGACCTTGTGACAGGGCAAAATGTGAACCTCAACTGGATTGACTGTGTCATTTTAGGAGGGCATAGCTGCTGTCGTGGACTTTTCATGAATGTGTTTGATTTTGTATTATACCTGGTTTCCGCCTTTTTTTATGTATAAAAACCAAGACTTTAAGGCTTACATTAAGTGGTGTCAAGACTCGAGATTGCTAAAGTAATTATTACCTATTTAATTTGCGTTTTTGACACTGCTTGGGGGTCCAAATTTTGGGGACTAAAATTCTTATTCCTTGGCCAATTTTTTATTTTTTCATGCTGATTTGAAGGCCATTAAAGCATTTGACCCAGTCAAAAAGTTTTAGTTGTATATCTTTTAAGGTTTTTTTGCGTTTTGTCGCGTTAAAGTTGATGACGTGGTGTCAGTAAAATGGTACGGATAAACACATATAATATACATACATATATATATCGTCTTGCTTTATATATAGTATATCGTCTTGCTTTATATATAGTAAGATTGGGCACTCATTGACTGAGCTATTAAGGCCAACGTATGGGTACTGACCTTTGGCCCCCCATGTATTATGGGTCGTTTACAGTTTACACGTTTTTAAATCACTTTTCGCTGTTGGAGTACCTGAGACATCTCACAGCAAGTAGACCAAAGTGGCTCATGCTTGTGAACAGTGCATCAACTACCCGAAGCGGTGGGTTGGGAGTCCCCCCTGGGATCATTTCATTTGTAAAATTGTACACATTATAAAAGCTACAATAAATTATCTATAAAATTTACATAAACAAACTTAGAAGACATCCTTTGGATTACCTTGCTGTGCATCTTTAGTGTCTTGGATGCAAAATGCAAATGTGTTTCTATCCACATATCTGAAGGATACCATATTGGTGCTGTTGAAGGATACCATATTGGTGCTGTTGTATGCTTAGGGGTCGTTCACTTATTACTTACTCGCTTTTTGGAACATTTTTACCTCCCGGAGGCACTATATGAGAACTATACCAGATATTGGAGAGTACTTTACCCCAGTAGAAAGCAGGATCATGCACGTGCTCATTCCAGCCCTTCTCGGTCGACCTCTCAACCAGTATGAGAGATAAATAAATAAATAAATAAAGTCAATTTTTACAGCACAGCAATATATATCTAAATATCAGATCCTCTGTAATCATAATGTATAAAAAAAGGAGCTTTTCTCTGTGCTGAAGGATGAATCAAGGCAGATCATGGTTCTGTTAGCAGGCCACCCTAGTTATGGACAATACATATATATAAAATAATTAAATTATAATTTTAAAATTGTGTCAAGATTGAACTAAAACATAACTCAGGGTAAAATAGACGTATTCCCTTCGTCAAATTAACTATTTACAATACTAAACTTAAACGAACTCCGGGTAAAATAAACGTAATCCCTTTGTCAAACTTGCTATTTACAATAAGTTAATAAATTAATACGGTTGAAAATTATTTCATATTCAATAACAATGTAGCATCAATATAATTGATACAAATGAGGAGCATACAGTGAGAATTGCACATAACAGGAGGACTGGAGGTATGGAGCAATAATGATTGACAGTGCACCTTTCCACTGATGTTCCTAATTTCCTGTAATAGCTTAATAGGCATGGAAATACTTTGATTGCAGGGGATAAATTGGATTCACTTATGTACTGAGATATCCTTGAACTCCCTGTTCGATGTGGAGATGTGGACTAGGCATTATCAATCCCATCAGGTTAGCATCTCGTGAATATGAAATATGTATACTCCACTAAAGATCTTGTGAGTTTAATCAACCAACAAAACCTGGATATCACCAAGGAAGTTATGAGTAAGATAAGAGAAAAGGACGAAGAATTGAGGAAACAGAAAGAAGATTTTCTCCCAAAAGTTCAAGATGCTCCATAATGGGTCAGATCATCTACCTTAGAACCACCTAGACCAATAAAGAGAGAATCCACATGGCTCTCAACACTACCTTTTCTTTGCACATATATTCAGTGCAATTTCATGGCAACTGTTCTATAAACAATAACTTGGGTTATTTTAAGGACTTGGTACTTGTTAGATGAGGCACGTGATAGCAGTAGTATGATTCGATTGGTTGACAAAACAAGAATATTGGTTGGTCACATGTAAATTGTAAATGTATACCATGTCCATTGTCCCTGCTATTGCTTCTGTTCTTAGAAACTATTAAAGAACTAATTTTTTCATGAATATAATCACAGATTAGCCATGTTGGAGTTTCTTGTGTCTAAAGTTGCCATGATGCTTACACTGGGCATGTTTTCCACAGGAATGTAAGTCTTTCTGACTATTTAACTTAAAATTCAGTTTTCCCTTAAGAATAATACTTTAATCAATGTGGATATTTTAATTTTGAAAAATATTTGGTTATCAAAAATGTTATTTAGAAATTGTTTAAAGTTTGAAGTGTAACTGTTGATAAAATATTAACATATTCGTAGAATTGATGAACAGGATCACTCAGATCAGAAACATCTATAATATCCATGAAAATCGTTAGCCCTTTCAAAGTGCAGCTATATTAACTGCAACGTTTTCAGGCATACAGTACAAAAGATAAGAAGGAAAGGCACAGGAGATACCCCGATACTACCATTTTGTGCCTTTGCAACAGGGTTAGTGCTCAGTTTAATTCCAGATTCTTCTGTTTTGATTGGATTGTAATTCATTGATCACATACCCTATCATTATTACCTCACAGCACACTACCACACTACCTTACAGCACACTAACACACTACCTTACAGCACACTAACACACTACCTTACAGCACACTAACACACTACCTCACAGCACAGTGCACACTTTAAACACACTACTCCTCAGTTGTTTTATCTGGCTCAACTACGGAATTATTACTGCTGATGGTACTCTAGCTTTCACTAACTTCGTTGGCACACTACTCAATTGTAGCTACGTCTTACTGTACTATTGGTACGCCCCAAATAAGGTAATAACCAAACTAATACTATTTATCTTCAAAACTAAATATTCAGTTCATATGTCTTAAATTTCTTAACATGATTGGTCTTTCTTGAACTGACTTTTCTATTCAATTATTATTCAAGATTTAAAGTTCAATAATATTTCAGAAATTAGTTTACCAAACAGTCGGACTGTTTCTTTTTCTACTCATTGGAGTTCACATGTACAGTGCGTGGTACCACGAAAGTCCAGAAGAGGCCAAGAACTTCCTCGGTTCTTGTGGTGTCTTGGTTACAATAGGAACATTCGCTTCTCCTTTAGCCCAGATGGTTTGTGCTTTTTCTCCCTTAGTAGTAATTTTGCCCACACACATCCTATTTCTTCGTAATTCTGTAATTGCAAGGGCGTTGCTTTAAAACTGGATTCATCGTCATGCTTGATGTTATTGGGATTTAATTTGTATGTCACAAATAATTTTAAAATAGTCATCATTATGTCATATTCTCGATCTTCAGCCACTTGGTTCAAACATCATGAAAATAATTGATAGTTTCTGGTAATTTTCCCCAATTTCATACCTGCCAACCCTAGAAACTGGTGATAAAGACGAAGAGTGCAGAGTCCATGTCGTTCCCCCTCTCTGTAATGGTTTGTGCTCAGTGTATTATGTGGTGGTGGTACGGCTACCTCATCGACGACTTCTTCGTTCAGGTAGATAAAATATGTCTTTCGAGGTTAAGTTCACAAAAGTTTATCTATATTGGACCTCGAGAGACTTCCAGCTATTGGAATATTATGTTGTAATATCTTGAATTAACTTTAAATATTCATAATATGTTATAATGTCCAGAATTAACTTTAAATATTCACATGCTGTTGTATCACTTGCGTGATTGCTAACATTCCTCATTTACAGATGCCGAACGTGTTTGGAACATTGTTGGCGATAATCCAGATTTTTGTTATCCTAAAATATTGGGACAACAAGCCCAAGACAGTGTCCAGTGTAATGGACAACGTGTAAACTGTTCAGATCAACACTACGCTAGGAGAACGATTAAACAATTAACGCATATTATATAGATTTGACAATTGACAAGGGAGGACCATTTCTGCAGCCGGATGTTTTGTAATTATTAGTTCTAGTCTGGTAGTTTAATAAATATTATTATTTGATTCGCTTGAATGCATGTTATGCATGCAATGTTATAAGGTCCAGGAAATAAAAATGATCATTGACTATCGAAGATTTGCAGTTGTAAAGTTGTAACCACTATTTGTTTTGATACGTAAAGGTATTTCAATTTTACTGATAGGAAATTATTCTGCATGCATGAATTTGTTAACTTAACGCATTTTTCTCTTTAAAGTTTAAGCTAAATTACTTGACTCTATTTTTTCTAACATTATAAAACGTTGATAGTAGTATAGGTTGACAAAAATGTTTACTTTTTTAAGAATTTAAATCGTGCTTTGGGCAGGAACTAAAGTTATTGATATAATTTTTTCAGTATTTGAAATATGAATTGCTGTAAAACTTCACATAGTATTTACTGAAGAGCAGTGCACACATTGCGATGAGGTTAACTTTTGTACTTTAAAATAATAGATATGCAATGACACTAGGTTTATTGAATGTCACATTTACAGCATTATTTTGACTTTGATACATTGTGCGTGTCTGTACATTAGTATCTTTCTGGTATAGATTTAAATTTCATTGAATAAACGACCTTCTTATTTGTTCGAGAATTCTTACAAGACATATCAAATGCTTTTTATGTTTGAACATTACATGGAATGATCACCGCACTTAATATTGGTATTCAACATCTAATTGGTATTCAACATCATATTGGTATTCAACATCTAATCATTATAACCTAAATAACGATAAAATGTAAATGTAATATTCGTTGTACAATCACTGGAACATAAACTCATTTTCACTACAGTTTCAAACATGGAACTAAACTTCTACGAGATGCACTTTGAAGCGACAGAGCAGCCCAAACTGGAGGGAAACACGGATGCATGCAGTTTCTCCCTCCTGTGCATGACCAGCAACGGTGACGCATTCTGTTCTCTTAACGACAAAGTTTACCACATCTTATGGAACCATGGAGATGATGATCTAGAGCGCCGGCTTTGTTTTACGCCTGGTAAAGACGGGCGCTTGCACAAGGACGAGATAATCCTTCTAGACGCACTGCACACCGAAGCTGGCACAATCGTAGCCGTTGTCTATTATCATGATCACCACGGCGGACAATACACTCTATCAGTCTTCCAACTGGATCTGAATACTTTAAAACTAAAGGCTAAGCAGGAGGAGAACCTGCACAAGAAACCCAACCTGGTGAGGTTATCACGTGACCTGTACAGTTCCCACATCTCAGTATTTGCTACCTACTACAGTGACCCGTGTGTACAGGTGTTTCAGTACACTAACTCGGGGTTTATCAGCAAGGTAGAGGACATCAAGGTCAAGGAGCACTATCCAGGGTTGTTCAAGTGTATGTTCCGACCAGCACCGGACAAGCGAACAATATCACGTGAGGACCATCACTCTATGGGACCAGAAAAACGAGCAGTTCAGGAGTATATCTTGTGTATAGACGTCCTGTTAGAAGGAGATATGCAATATCTAGCCTACGGCACGGTTGATGGCAACATTCACGTGCAAGTATCAAGTTCACATCATGGTGTTGCCTGGCAAGCTATGTATGATTGGGAGGGCCCTATATCGGCTATCAGGATTTTCAAAGTCAAAGGTTATGTGTGCCTTGTTGGAGCTTGTATGGTAGAGCAAGTCATTCTTATCACTGATATAAATCACACTAATAAACTACATAATAGGATTGTTCTTCCGGAATCTAATCTATTCGATAGTGTTACGTGTCTTAGCATCATGGATATTGATTACGATGGTGATAGTGAGATACTTGTAGGCACATATGGGAGAATATTCCTGGTGTACAAACTGCATCTATCTGAGGGAAATCTGGTGCCGTACATCGTATATAGGAGACACTACAATAGCCCAATTTATGGTATTTGTCATTCAGATATAACAGACGATGGTATTCATGAGATTATCGTACTGACTTTCAATGGAATTCACGTTCTCCAGAGGTGTTTGAGATCTGCTCAGCAGTATATTCAGAAGCTGATTGATAGTTCAGGGTCAACTCAGATCAAATGTCCTTTTCAAAGTGAACATTTTTCTGATAATTATGCTAGTACTCCAGAATACTGATTTGTTTTTGATTTTCTTAATTTTTGTGCTGTCGATGATTTTTACCCAATTATACAATTATGTATCATGTTTATAATCTATTTCTTATAATGATCAGAAAATTTACTGAATTACAATCTGAGAGCCTATCTTAACCATGTTAAATATAAGTGCTTTTCCCGATCATATGAGGCGATGTATTCTTAATATTTGTGGCAAGCCCGCATTTCTTGCACCCGTTTGTGGCACGCTTCACGTTTGCCCCCATCTATATCTGACCTAATTAAAAATTACTCGCTGAATTCTCAATAATTTCAATCATAGTTGTTTATAACAAGTGTCAGTATAAGTTTGAATAAGGTAGAATAAAAGCTTAATAATAGGCAAAATACATGATGGAGCAAGATTCATATCCGCCACAAAATCTGAGAAAATACGTTCTAACGTTCTGGCAGCCTTTAAAATCAGTTTTCTGGAAAGCGTAGCAGATTCACTTATAATGCATAGCGCGCTTTGAGGGGAATTATCACGTACGTTCTTTTCAATGATCTTGTAGATCTGGGCGGACATCGGGACGTGGCCTTCGATCCTATCCGTTATAACTGATCTGTGGACTGTGATATCATCAACAGATCTGTGGACTGTGATATCATCAAGAGACGGAATAATCTCCCGGGGAGTTAACGACAATTAAATATTTATGATCGGGGAAAATAGAATTCGATCACATTGGGGCTCACCCGACTGATTTAAAAAGTTGGTAAATAGAGTTCAGTTACTAATAAGGAAATTGTATTGTCCATCAATTTGTTTAGATCAGATTAATTTGAATCATACCACTTTTGAAAATTGCAAAATCATATTGTCCCAATCTCTGTCCCATTTTCAGTTTTTGTTGACAGATTGGATGAAGTTTTTGCCCAGAAACCAATTAGTCAGTTAATTGATGATGGTATGAAACCAAAATGAGGTACTTGGAGTCAAAATCCCGAATAAAATTACAAAATCATATTGTCCCAATCTCTGTCCCATTTTCAGTTTTTGAAGATGAAATTTCCAGGACCGAAATTTTACAGTTTTTACTGATTATTTCACCTGCAACCAATTAGTAAGTCAACTGTAGATGGCATATGACACGATTGGGGTGCTGAAAGTTTGATTTCGGCCGGAAGAAGCGCACAGCAGAAAGCTTAACAAAACGAAAAGTTGTATTTTCAAAAGTCTGTCCTATTTTCAAATATGAAATTTTCTGAACACAAAGTTGACAGATTGGATGAAGTTTTTGCCCAGAAACCAATTAGTCAGTCAATTGATGATAATAAGAAACCAAATTGACGTACTAGTAGTCAAAATCCCGAATAAAATTGCAAAATCATATTGTCCCAATACAATCTCTGTCCCATTTTCAGTTTTTGAAGATGAAATTTCCAGGACCGAAATTTTACAGTTTTTACTGATTATTTCACCTGCAACCAATTAGTAAGTCAACTATAGATGGCATATGATACGATTGGGGTGCTGAAAGTTTGATTTCGGCCGGAAGAAGCGCACAGCAGAAAGCTTAACAAAACGAAAAGTTGTATTTTCAAAAGTCTGTCCCATTTTCAAATATGAAATTTTCTGAACACAAATTTGACAGATTGGATGAAGTTTTTGCCAAGAAACCAATTAGTCAGTTAATTGATGATGGTATGAAACCAAAATGAGGTACTTGGAGTCAAAATCCCGAATAAAATTACAAAATCATATTGTCCCAATCTCTGTCCCATTTTCAGTTTTTGAAGATGAAATTCCAGGACCGAAATTTTACAGTTTTTACTGATTATTTCACCTGCAACCAATTAGTAAGTCAACTGTAGATGGCATATGACACGATTGGGGTGCTGAAAGTTTGATTTCGGCCGGAAGAAGCGCACAGCAGAAAGCTTAACAAAACGAAAAGTTGTATTTTCAAAAGTCTGTCCCATTTTCAAATATGAAATTTTCTGAACACAAATTTGACAGATTGGATGAAGTTTTTGCCCAGAAACCAATTAGTCAGTTAATTGATGATGGTATGAAACCAAATTGAGGTACTGGGAGTCAAAATCCCGAATAAAATTGCAAAATCATATTGTCCCAATCTCTGTCCCATTTTCAGTTTTTGAAGATGAAATTTCCAGGACCGAAATTTGACAGTTTTTACTGATTATTTCACCTGCAACCAATAAGTAAGTCAACTGTAGATGGCATATGACACGATTGGGGTGATGAAAGTTTGATTTCGGCCGGAAGAAGCGCACAGCAGAAAGCTTAACAAAACGAAAAGTTGTATTTTCAAAAGTCTGTCCCATTTTCAAATATGAAATTTTCTGAACACAAATTTGACAGATTGGATGAAGTTTTTGCCCAGAAACCAATTAGTCAGTAAATTGATGATAATAAGAAACCAAATTGACGTACTAGTAGTCAAAATCCCGAATAAAATTGCAAAATCATATTGTCCCAATACAATCTCTGTCCCATTTTCAGTTTTTGAAGATGAAATTTCCAGGACCGAAATTTTACAGTTTTTACTGATTATTTCACCTGCAACCAATTGGTATAGTAAGTCAACTATAGATGGCATATGACACGATTGGGGTGCTGAAAGTTTGATTTCGGCCGGAAGAAGCGCACAGCAGAAAGCTTAACAAAACGAAAAGTTGTATTTTCAAAAGTCTGTCCCATTTTCAAATATGAAATTTTCTGAACACAAATTTGACAGATTGGATGAAGTTTTTGCCCAGAAACCAATTAGTCAGTTAATTGATGATGGTATGAAACCAAAATGAGGTACTTGGAGTCAAAATCCCGAATAAAATTACAAAATCATATTGTCCCAATCTCTGTCCCATTTTCAGTTTTTGAAGATGAAATTCCAGGACCGAAATTTTACAGTTTTTACTGATTATTTCACCTGCAACCAATTAGTAAGTCAACTATAGATGGCATATGACACGATTGGGGTGCGGAAAGTTTGATTTCGGCCGGAAGAAGCGCACAGCAGAAAGCTTAACAAAACGAAAAGTTGTATTTTCAAAAGTCTGTCCCATTTTCAAATATGAAATTTTCTGAACACAAATTTGACAGATTGGATGAAGTTTTTCACCCGCAACCAATTAGTAAGTCAACTATAGATGGCATATGATACGATTGAGGTACTCAAAGTTCTATTCCCCAAGAAAGCTTTGATATTTAACTGAATATCATCAGAATATAAAAAGAGATTTTGGAAGATTTTTGAAGAGGAGCTTTTCTGCCGTCCCCTTGACCGTAATTTCGCGGTTTTGACTGACATTTTGACCAGTGACCAATCAGTGAGGTAGGTGAGAGTGACACAAGTCGCCATCGTGATCAAGGTACTGGAAGCAGTATATCCGGATACAACTTTGATGCAATGAAAATTTTGAATATGTCCTACCGGTATGAACTATGACATATTATTAGAATTTCTGCTTTCCGCGACCCAAATTTCACTGTTTTGGCTGAATTTTTCTTGAATGACCATCTTACTGCATACAGGGTCACCGAGGATGGCACAAGACACGATTGAGGTGCTGGAAGTTTGATTTTGGTCGGAGGTGGTATAATTATACTACAGAAAGCTTTACAAAACGAAAATTCGTATTAGGAAATTGAACCAAAAGTTCAAAAATCTATGTACACGAAATATCTAACATTGAAAGTAAATCAAGTCATACACAATCCTACCAAACAAAAAACAAACAATAAATTCATCCTCAACAAAAAACATTTTATTTTATCGAGACCCCACATGATTTGGATTTCACGAATCATTGTTCATTAAATGAGTGTTATAACTATAAGTACATTTATTATATATTATGCGCTTTAATGTAGATTGTTTACATTGTACATCTACCGGAAGGCGTAATAATTTATAAGGCTAAACGTGAATAATAATGATAAATTAGCGAATTGTAAAATGTGTCAGTATAAAAGCGGTCAACGCAACTCCATGCACAACGAAAAGTCCTCAATCCGGAAATCCCGTCAGTAAAATACATTAAACGTATCTTAGTTACTTCTTCTTAAAAAATCCACTCATTTTTGAACCGAAGGCATTGCTCGGCCGCTGGTCTTTACTCGCCCTGAATAGATAAAGTAGTTAATTGTGCACTTTAAACGATTTGTTGATCAGAAATCCGAATTGCTTCTGAAACTTATTAAAGTATCGTGTTTATAAACAAGTTTTAAAAATTTGTATTTAGCTTCAAATGTGTGAGGATAGACTAGTTATAGTGCTAGCATCTAAGTTTGCAAAAATACTGACCACATGTCAAACCATATTAAAAGATACTCTAAAACGAAAACCAGCACCAAGCCCCTTAACCACACTTACATAGATGTCTTAGACAACACTTCACGTAACATGATATCAACAGTGGGCTGCTTGTCCGGTACGACCTCCTGAGCATCAGTCAGCAGAGCTTGTAGCCCCGGTACTATGTAATGTTCTATCGTATCAGTTGAAATGTAACAACACAGGATCGCTTTGTAAGCCAGGATAAGTCGTTCTGTTATGTCCCTTCGTTTGGTTTTGTTGGTTATCGCGGAGTTACTCACACCAATAGTTGCCAGTCTTGGTATCAGAACTGAGGAGGAAGTGTTATTACCTCAAATAATTATATCTACCTTAAATGAGTACCGAGCAACAAGTACAAGAAAGAGCAGCAGCAATAAGTATATTGACGTAGTGGATGGTCGAGGTGGTTTCAAGCACAGGAACCCTCAAATCCAAAGATAAGCAGCACTTGGCCTTCGGCACTTGAAACCTCCTCAAGCCTCCACTGAGTTATTAATTATTGATATTGTTTGATTGTGCCGTAAAAATAAACAATTGTTTTATTAATACTCACAATCTCGTTGAATGTCAGGATTACAGAGAGGCAAAACAAGAGTAAAGCTCTCGATCAGCTCGCACATCATCACGTGGACATCAGAGGACACAGACTCGCTGATAAACTTATCCAGCTGTTCTCTGATACTGCTGACTGATCCTGAAAAAGTGAAATATTTACCTCAAAAAAGTGAAATATTTACCTCATACTGTTTAATGGCATTAGAAACTTGTATATGTGCTGTTTGGTGCTGTAATGATAGGGTTCATGATCACTCAAAATCAATTTTATTTGAATGAATAGAGGGTTTTTGAGAAAATTTCATTCTGCTTGCACTCGTATTGTTGAAAAGCGAGATCATAAAACTACACAAGGCAAATTCCCATATCCAATCGCACACAATGCGGCAACAGAAAACTCACTAGAAGGCGCTTTGGATTGTTGTATTAAAACATCATACACTAGAATTAGGATTAATGAGTTTAAAGATCGATGAAATTGAACGTAACTAAAAGTTAACATGTTCTTTGTCATAATAAAAATCTAAAATATAAACCGACTAAAAGTTACCTGAGGAGCGCTGTAACATGACAGCGAATGAAATGACAGTAGATGTCTGAACAAACACATCTGGATCGTTAGCTAGACGGGTTAGTATAGGCATCACGTGGGTTACAATATCTTGAGGATCTGCACAGTCACACAGCCCCTGGGTAAAGAACGTGGGTTACAATATCTTGAGGATCCGCACAGTCACACAGACCTCGCAAACAGGGTGACTTTGTAATTAACCATGTGTCAGTATTACTATGTATGCATGTGTAGTGTGTAGTGTGTACTACAGCAAGGCCGTGATAACGCAACTGCTCAAAATGTCAATCTGTTTACAGTAAAAACTCGAAATCTAGAGGCCGGTTTTTCGCGGCTGTATCTCTAGTGTATCTAGAAACTATACTAAGTATACAACGGTGGCCTGGTATATAATTAATTCTGGGGACTTACCTTACAGATTTTGGCGATGATGCCCTTCATGTGTGGGTTAGTTGCTTCCCTCAGAGCTGTATTGAGGACATTAACCAGAATGTGCAGGACTGACCGTGTCAGACTCAACTCAGCAAATGTTTCAGTGAGGGGCCCCACATCGAGGTACTGGTGAGCGTACTGGTTAAGCGTATCTCCCAGAAACTCCTTCAGCTCGGCCCGGTCCTCCTCGTTAGCCGCCAATATCCCCGCACAGTACACCGGCAACACACGTGCATCCATCACGTGCTCTAGCAACACCGGCCTCACCACGTGCTGAACGAACGTACGACCGATCACCATCTGCATTTGAGCGAGCAGCTTGGTGAAATCAGCCATTAAAGATTTGTCTTTAACACTCTTTATACACTCAACAAGACACGGTACAGCTGTGCTCCTGTACCACTCAGTTTGTATTTGCACACTTTCTGGTAGACTCTGCTGGACAATACTGGTGTTCAAGCTGGACAAGGCTGAGGTGTACTGACTTTTAGTGATACTCAGTATAACACATGGGTCTAACAGTCCCAGGTGGGACTCATCCGTACTCTGGGACATGGCATCAGCGGGAGCGTCCGTCACCAGAGGTTTCAACATCCCAGCTAACACGAACACGTTGCTAACATTGAGAGACTGCAGGTATATGGCAATGTGCCGAGCTGAGGATGCAGACTGGATGGAAGAAAGAAGTTGCTGGAGGAGCATGTTGTAGCAGGTTTGGAGGTAGTGGTCACGTGATAGCAGCCAGCAGGAGAGGGCAGGCAGGTAAAAACGGAGGGAAGTTTGTTGAACTTTACTGCTGCTGTCATGTAACGTATTTCTCAGGATCTGCAGCAACTGAGATTCGGGAAAATTGTCATTGTTGAAGTGTGAACAGCAATTATCATTTCAATTAATTAAAGCACGATAAACCGTGACACGGCGCAGAAAATAATTAGAAATAGCAACAAAAAAACGAGAGACTCACATCAGAAGCTTTGTGTTCATTATAAATCCTTGTAATCACAAGTGACAGATTCTTTACGGCACTTTCCCGAACTGACTCGTCCTTGTCGTCTAGAACTTGTTTCAATATCGACAGGATAAGGGACGAGCAGACGTCCACCTAAAAAAGAATAAGTGATAACGAAAATTAATTATAAAGTATCACTACTGGGAATATTGGGGGACAAAGTTCTTATAGATTAAAATATTACACAATATCACACAATATTACACAATATCACACAACATCACACAATATCACACAATATCACACAACATCACACAATATCACACAATATCACACAATATTACACAACATCACACAACAGGTGCCGTACTACACCTATAAAAGTGCCAGTAATATTGTATCTTAATATCATATGTGAACACAATACAAATTACACCAGTGTTACAACAGTTACTGGAAAACTAAGTTTTGGAAATCTATTTACACTCTGTGTAAGGCTATTCACAATGTTCCATGTGTTTATCCCATTGACCAGCTTTAGTTTGTTTGCTGATATAGAGCTGATGTAGAGCTGATGAATATATCTATTTTAGGTTTCACAATTTTAATACTCTCGTTACGATTCATTGATACGGCAGTATTATTATTTCAACCATTGTCGATAAACTCAAAATCACTGCAAATGCGGCTTCTGAGAATTCCAATTCTGTAACCTTTTGAGCATTATCCCACGTAGTATAATTTCCCCCGAATTTCTCTGTCAAATTACGACAATATGTCGTCTCGTTATTTAATCGATTTAACACCGCAATTCCAGTCGCAAGCCTGGGACCACTACTAGCATTGTCACAACATCTACAAAGCTGCCATATAGCCTGACTGACAATTTTCTCGACTGACTGACAATGTTTCTTCTTTTCCCCATTTAGAATACAAAGATTAGTACATTTTAGCTTATGATTAATATTATATTTTTACCTATAGTTTACCTAGATTAGTAGATTCCACTATTACTGGGGAGGGAGCACCCGGCCAGCTGACACACATTCTACACCCCCGCGTCCTGAGCATCTCAAGTCTCATTTCTTCAGCTGCCTATACATTTAGGTGCCCTCACAGTTAAATGATTAACTGCTTCTTGCTCTAGATTTCGCGGTAAGCTAAATAATGGTGCCCCGGCTCTAGCTTATCTTTATAATTACATCCAACTGTTTACTGTAAGAGGGCAAACTCTCATAATTCTGAAATCGGTCATTTCCTTTGCAATTTACGCAGACGGAAATTATTAAAATATAGACGTTTCGTCGGTACCCCACTTAATATATTATTGATTCTCTCATCGTAATTAAATGATTAGCAGTGGTCTACGTCCAAACTAAATAATTCGTAAATCACATTTGTTGAGCAGTAATATTGTGAGCTTCTGCTCTAGATTTCGCGGTAAGCTAATTGATGATTTGGTTATGTACCTAACCGATTCAAAGCAGCAACGAATAACCTTGCTCACCTCATGTTATCGTTTGGACACGTTATTAACTTATTAGCCAACCAATTACTTAGCTTACAAATCACCTTAGCTTATCAGTTCTATAATCGGTCTTTTCAAGGTTTCTGATGCATGAGTTAGGTATAAGTTAGGCATTTTAACCTCAATGGTTGAAAGCAGCTGTGCAATAGTCAACCTCATGCTTGTTTGACCTTCAATCAATCGGGTTTATTTTATTTATATCGTGTCATAAATATAATGTCGTAACTTATAACTATTCAGACGAGTTTTCTATTGCAGCTCATGACCGGAGGCAACATGTAGGTGCGGTAATATTTTGCAAATAGTGCAATTTCGCACCTGCCTAGATTTTTATAAGCGGCAAATTTTGAGACAAAAAATACGCAATTAAGCTGGAAAATACGTTACCTTTGCAGCCTTTACGCACTCTCAGATTGGATTGTTCAACATCGTTATTTATAACGTTGCCTTACACAATTTTTGAGTTTAACATAACAAAAAACTTTAAAAGTTAATGTATTACACTGAGTTTCCTGACAATGCAAGATGTATAAATCTATAGAATTACCCTCATAGAAGTTTTTGCGATTATATGGGCAGGATGACTGGGACTAGTTTCGAGCTAATCGTTAGCATAATTGTATTCAATATTGTAACTTAACTTAGATTCTAACACATTGTGTGTATAAACTGATATTCCTGTACATTACAATATGATCTAACTTAATAATGACTACAATATATCTAATCGTGAGGGCTGTAGATTTCGTTCCCGCTTGATGAGTTATTCATTTTCCAAGATTCACCCTCTTTTTTTTATACTGCATTATCAACTTGCCATCTGATAATGAGAATAATGAACTTTCTGGGAATATTTTTGAGAGGAAAAATTGTTCTCTATATGTGTTTTCCTGATTTTTAAAAGTAATTCTTCTTTCCGATGTTACCTCATGAAAAACGTTTGACCCTGTTATAGATTGAATCGAGCTAGTTCCTAGCTCTCTCCTGATTCTTCTAGAACCTTCCACGAGGACCAAATATCTCTTGATATTTACGGGTTAAACCACTAGTCCGTAAAGAGGACGGTTAAAACCACTAGTCCGTAGAGAGGATAGTTAAACAACAGTTAAACAACGGTTAACTACCTTGTTTTAAATATAAACTTAGACCTCTCCGAAACATGTAGGTTTAGCGTAAGGGTCAAGGTTCTGCGATCATACTTTGTTCATTATTCCGATTTCATTATTCCGATTTTACTATCATACTGACTTTCACTTCGAGTATCTATTTTCCACGCAACCGGTGACAACAACCCTAACCATAATTGTGGGCATGTCAATCTTATCTCATTGTACACAGCGGTACCAAGTACACAAATCAAATAGAACGAATAGCGGCTGATGGTGTGAAAAAGTGCGGTATTAGGTCAATAGTGCGATTCCGCACCAACACCGCACTTATATGTTGCCTCTGAAATTTCGACTGTGGTTTTTATGGTTCTATATTGAAAAATATTCTTATCATTAACAGTAGCTTTACAACCTTTCAGATACCCTACATTTCAAGATATGATATAAATTACGACATCACCATCATCATTCGAGTCTCCACTCGATCACCATGATTCAGTTCCTACTGGTGAGTGGGCTCCTAACCCTTTCTCACAGTTCCACACCAAAACAACCCAATATTGTGTTTATTGTGGCTGATGACATGGGATATCAGGACGTAGGATTCAGAGGATCAAACATTCGTACTCCCAACATAGACAGACTGGCCAGGGAGGGTGTGATTCTTGAGCACCACTACGTCATGGCAGTGTGTGCTCCAACTCGTGCTTCTCTCATGACCGGTAGGTACCCAATTAGAACTGGCTTCTGGAAGGGTAACCTCAATATTGTAGAGGAGTTTGGGCTGGGTCTAGACGAGACTTTACTGCCCGAGATGTTGAAGAGGAATGGGTATGCTACCCACGGTGTAGGTAAGTGGCACTGTGGCTCCTACTCTTGGGACCATACCCCAGCCAAACGAGGATTTGATACGTTCTTTGGCTTGTTTTTGGGAGGTCAGGACTATTTCACGCACAGAGACGCAGTGGAAGGTTTGTTATTAGACTTGAGATACGATTATCATGATCAAAGCGGAACATTTGTGGATGATGTTAGAGGTGATTTGGATGGACGTTATAACACCTATCTATTTACAAATGAATCACTAGAATTGATCTCCAACCACGACAAAATTCAGCCCCTGTTTCTATATTTAGCTTACACAGCGCCCCATATGCCAGACGGAGCCCCAGCGGAAGACATAAAAAGATACACCTCAGATTCGATGAAAGAATCCAGAAAAACCTACGCATCTATGGTCTCCATTATGGATGATGGAATAGGCAAGATTGCCGATGCTCTTAAAGATCAGGGAATGATGGATAACACCATTTTAATATTCACATCTGATAACGGAGCAAGATATACAAGCCAGGGTAGTAATTACCCTCTCAGAGGAGGCAAAGGTAGTTTCCTTGAAGGAGGAGTTAGGGGGGTAACCTTTGTAAACAGCCCACTTCTACAAAAGACTGGATACACAAATACCAATCTGCATCATGTGACCGACTGGTATGCAACATTCCAAAGGCTAGCTCATGATAATGCACAGAAACACGACAAAATCCAACTACCCATCGACGGAGTGGACATTTGGAGATCAATTAATGACAATAAACCATGCAGAGACGAGATTCTTTTGAATCTTAGAGATTCATCCAAGTATTTGGGAACTCAAGGCCCTGTTGCGAAATGGGAAATATGTGATAATTGCTTCGAGCTTATGGGTGGTCCTCCGATAAATGCAAAAGAGTTCTTTGTCCTGCGATGGAACAACTGGAAGCTCCTCGCTGGCCCCGCATTTGAATTACAAGGCTGGAGCTCAAAAAACAAACAGGATGACTTTCTCAGCTTTAAAGACGATCAGGGGAACAGCTTCATAAGATCCCTTGCATCAGGAACAATACTGTTTGACTTATCTACTGATGTCCGGGAGGAGACAAATGTTGCTGACCAGTATCCAGATATAGTGGAGAAGCTTCTTAAAAAGAAACAAGGTTATTTAAATAAAATGAAATCCATCGGACATAGCAAGTTTGCATATGATATTTCAATGGTAGATGACGTTTACAGACCTTGGGTCGAGGATGTTTAGAACCTGTTGCAGAAAAAAGGCACTCTTATGCATAGTCGTTTGCTAAAATAATATGAAAGTAACGGTTGCTGAGTTATGGGCCATCATAAATTGATTGGGCGGTCAAACGATACTTGGATGGGTCTAATAATATCGGGATAGTGAGCAGATCATCACCGTAACCAGTAACAGGTTCTTTAGAATCATGAATGAAGGTTTTCGATCACCCTGTGATTAAATTGCTCTGGCAAGATACAGATCATCATCTTAACCGCAGAAAATAATTGCACAAAACATTATTTCATAAAATCGTGTAGATTAAATAATGCATTTCTTCTTAAATTTGCCCCTTAATAAACACTTCTGTCGTCAAGGTTTAGGTTTGAAATTGTTTGAAATTGTTAAATATTATTTTATTATAACAAAAGGTTGCACAAGAGTTATATTTCATTTATATTCTGAATTATTGAATTTGGTATCGTGTGTGAAAATAAAATCATCTTCTTGTAAGATCCTAAAAATACGCACTATGTCTGCACTTAGATTGAATAAATTGAGCTGATTCTAAAATAGGTTATTAAAATTTAAATTTACAATATATCGATCAAATACAACGTATATTACTTCGTTAAATCGCAAGGTATGCTTCCTGAGGTATGCAGGGGGTAACCTTTGAAGCCCACCTTTCCGAAAGGGTCAATCCATCTGCATCTGTGACTGTATAAACGGCAGCATATGATATCACAAATCCGTAAAATCCAACCCATCGCGATGACATTGTCACTTATTGACATTAAATGCATGCAGTTTCTGTTGCTAAGATTCACCAAATTTAACGTCAGTACTTGTGATTACTTTCATTCTTCGAGCTTTATGGTGTCTCCTAACAAAATTCTTTATTGCCTGTCGATAACACGGAAGCCTCGTGGCCCCAATCAATGCTGGAGGCTCAAAATTTCAACAATGACTAAATCCTAAGAATTCATTCAAAGACTTGCATCGAACAATACGTTTACTATAGATGCCGAGAATATGTGGACATACCAGATCTAGTGGAGAACTCTAAAAGCGTATTATGATATCACATCGGCCATAACAAGTCCATATTATTTCAATATTGTTTACGACGGGGCGGGATGTTTAGCCGCAGAAAAAAGGCCTCTACGCAGCTTGCTCAGTACGTTGCGAGTTAGGGCATCAAAAGATGCGGCATACGTACTTGATGCTTCGCGAGGCAGACCACCAACCACAGAGAAATGAAGAAAGTTTTGGCTACTCCTGGCATTAATGTCTGGCAAATCAGTCATCATCTTAACGTCGAATAATTGCACAAAGATTACCAAAATATCATGTCAATTAATAATCATTCTCTTAATTGAATATTCTGCGTCAGTTAGTTGAAATGTTGAAATTGTTAAAATATTATTTTATATTAACGGAAATATTGCATAGAGTTAACATGTTATCTGAATAGGAATCGGGTACTTGGATACCTTTTGTGTATGCGTACAGTATGGTTAGAAGTCTCACTGTGATGGGACATAGTAATTGAGTGATTAAAAATGTTTGTATAGATTGTACAATTTGTCAAATGACATTACCTTAAATCTCAAGTACTTCCGTGCGTATGTAGGGCTATCCATTAATTACTACTACAATTAATCAGTCAGTAGCCAGTGGAGGGGGGGCTGCAGCCCGAAAGAAATAACCCCAGACAAAAACTATCCCTAAGTCCCCATTCGGGTATCGCGTTTTTAGACTGCAGTCCTGACTGTCTTGTAAATAACAGGAGCTTTGTACTTGTCGCATTGCGTAGTGCGTAGTTCCAAAACCACTAAATCATGCACATTACATCAATCATGCAGTTTGCATTTTAATTCCTGTTACGTGATACTTGTTTTTCAGCCTGGTGAGCTGTCCTACAAATTTCTATATTGCCAATGTCGTCTAGATACACACCATATCGCACATTTTTGTGTATGTCCCGTCCCAAAAATTTGACTCTACGCCTTTGTCGCAGTGTCCTGGTTACGCATGCTCGCTCGGCGTACGATCCAGCCCCAAAAATAATCTTTTAGGCCTTGCAATGTATGGATTCAGTATCTAACTAATTGCATCCAAAACCACCTATTTCCCTTTCATAACCTTTATGATTGATACTGCTCTCATAGATCTGGTACTAATATATGATAATGTCAACTTCACATTGTCGCTATCTGGTACCCGTATCGACATTGGTAGTGGCTCAGGATGGACGCTCAATCAGGTAAGGGACTCGTTTTTCATTGCAGTTCGCAAAATGGAAAATCGCCAAAATGTACTACCGGTAGTACCTATGCAAACATAAACTTTGCTTGATACAAATTTCACTTTTTTGACAAACTTTTTATCCAGTGACTAATTACTACTTAGTGAGTTCAATGTGCATGCCACAATACACGATTGAGATACTGGAACTTGGAAGCTAGATTTCCTGAGTAAGCTTCGAAAAATGGAAAATCGCCCATTCAGTCAAATTAATCTCCACTGACGGGGCGCGCGCTGGCTAGGCTAGGCTAGGCTGTTAATTTGTTATCATGCGCCGACCTCATAACAATAAAATGGGTCGCATCTTACGTTATATCTTAGTTGTGCGGTGGCACATTTTGATGCATCTCCCATTGCCTTCTTAAAGTACGCGGAAACACAATATTCGTACTGAAATATAGATAACTTATAACTGTACCCCTTGGGAAACCTCAGGTAACCTTTGTTTCTTCATCAAATCAAAGATCCAGTTCCTAACCCACTCTCAGCGGTTCCTCTACCGTTTTACACAGTAACTGATCCTACTTATTTCAGATCAGTAACAGAGACACACAGAAGAACTTGCACACGGTATAACAGGTATCAACGTCCTTATCATCAAACCATGCAACTTTGTTTTATGGTCTTCCTTAGTCAGTTAAACGGCCTCTTTAAAATACATTTGGATGACGAATCGAACGAATATTGTTAAAGATTTAATTCAAAAGGTTCTGTAAAAGAATTTAACAAAACTTCTCCAGATTTTGCTAAATACCATCAAGACGACATCTGTCTTTTATGAAGGAGCACGAGGCAACATAGCAACGGAATAAACTCCTGTGTTTAAGCACATGAAGCTCAGTTTGTCAAATTTTAAATCTCTTCTGTTGCAATTATCATCAGACATAATAATGCAGTTCCGGATTGTTTGGCTGGCATGCTTTACACAGTATGCTCAGATGTTGAGGTTGAACCTCCACTTCAAGAACTAGAAGGAGAGAAGTTCACGATTTCCGGAGGTCCTCGACACTTACGTGTGACCAGGCAAGACCAGGCATTAGGGCACATGGTTTCTAAAAGCCGGCCCAAGTGGCAAAGGCTATTAATCCTATTCTACTTCATACCTTCAACATTCAACAAAAGAGACCTTTGAGAATGCCGAAAGACCAAAAGCAATGAGACAATTCTTAATATAGAGCATGGATCATTCGGTTTTGTGGTTATTACGTCGGTTGTTTTGAGTGCGAGCTACATTTTAATGGGCTGTATCTTCGGTTGTGATGGATATTTTTTGGTGTAATGAAAATTGACTACCAAAGAATACTATTTGCTTCCTCCCTGTGACCACGAGCTTTCTAGTTTTGTATATATTCAATTTTGTTTTCAAAAAAACGTTTTGGTTGCAATATCAACTACACAACTAACATTTGACGGACATTTCTGGTTGAAATTCTAACCACTAATGAAAATGATGATTCTTATTGCACTGTTCTTGTTTTGCATTGCACCAACGACACTGTATCTACTGATCGAATACGAGGTCAACAAACTGTCAGAACTCAAGGCAAGGTGAGCTCAAAATCCTCAATTCCTACCGACTGTATCAAGTTGTTGCACAAGGTATGGAGAGTACCAACCTATCGAGGTAGTTTGCAAAGTGATAACTGATAAGTGCTTCCTCGAATTGTTCCATCTATGCGAAATAGTAGATCAAACGATATAACAGTAAGTTTTTACAAATTTCCTTTTTGAAAATTTTCCGGATTTTTAGGATGTCATTAATTTAGACTTGTCTACGAAAGTAGAGATAAATTCAGTGATTCCTCACTCCTCAGATTGACGAAACCTGACAGTTATGCTCTAACGATGCCCAACAGCAGCACCTCCAAAATGCAAAAAGATATTTCCTGTTCGGGAAAATCCAAAATATTTCTACGGACTACCATTACCCGGCGCTTATAAGGGGTGCAAGTATTCCCCGTGAAAATACTGTTACAATGAATAAGCGGTGAATTAAAGGGTGATATCTGCTGAGTCTGCTGCATTGCAGATCAGAAACTGGAGCCAATGAATAGGAAGTGATTAGTTTCGATTTTGAAAGGATCAATAATAATTACGTAAATGGAAATGCTGTGATCGTGCTTTCTACAGCTTTGAATTTTGAACAGTCTATTGTTGTTGAGTAGTAAATATTATTGACATTAAGGTTTTAAGTTTCGAATTTGAAGAGTCGCTAATTGGAGTTTAGATAATTTATTTTGATGATTTGACATTTCGAATATTTTTGAATTTTGAGTGACCTCCGTAGTCCGAACTCTATGAAAACAAGACAGGTAACTCAGCAGATTACAAATTAAGATACGAGCTGCGTGGATCACATCATGGTTTTACAGTTCAGGAATGAGTATTGAACTTTTGGATCCATGGCATGGGTAACAAAGCACATAACTTGCGAAGCGAAAGGCGAGTTATTGGCAAACAGAATTTAAAATTGAGGTGGAAGTTGGGGTGAGATTCCACATGGAATGGCCGGGCTGATTGGATACTGCCGTGGTTTCTAAATGTATTTACATTTGATGTATAATTCAGCAATTTACATGTACTATACTTGAACGTTCATGTACTTACATGTACAAATCTTGTACTAAACATGTACTCTAACAACTTAATGATATATATATCATTAAGTGTATATATACACTCAGTTGTAAACTAAGTGCTCCATTTACATCCATAAACTTTTCTGTAACCCACAGCTCAAATCTCTCTCAACTAATTATTACTCCCAAGAGATGGCACAAAGAACTGACAAATGACACCTTCATTCCATTAATCTCATCGTATTAATTGCCGCGTAAATTTTATTATAAATCTAATAATTTGAATAACATAATATGAATAATATAATTTGAATAATATAATTTGAATAAGTTTTAAGTTATTTAAATCAGAACATACCGAGAAGTGTACTGACAGCGAACCACAGGTCTCGGCAACTAACAGTCGTCTTTCCACGAACTTGTCTGCTATCTGAAAATGAATGTTTAACTCATATCATTAAAATTAAAAAGGAACGGCCATCATTCGTAAAAACCAACAGCAATCTCAGAAAAGTTCACATTACAACCAGAAATTACCCTAGCGCTTTCGAAGGAAACTCAACTTCGATGTCAATAACCTGCAGTAAGCACAAGGCCGCCTAGAAATTATATTTCCATTTGCTCTGCTGCTGCAAGCACCTAGTGGATTAAAAAGAGCAAGGTAGGAGAGCTAGAGGAAAAACTCGTACAATTATTCCAGATAGGACCATGTTCGGAGTTACAGTGGCAACTCTCAGTCTGTAACTAGCGAATGATTTAGTGACTCTTTACCTAGAGTGGCTCTGACTGGCACTTCTAGTTCAAGCGCAGCTTGTTTCGCTAACGTATCACTTGCTTCATGACATTCTTATAAACTATTTCAGCTGATTGTTGCGAAGTTGCAATAATATAGCACTGTGTTTTCATAATGGGGGCTTTCTCGCCTGCAATCCAACGACAAGATATTGCATAACTAGTGCTGCCAGAAACATGGTTACATGTCAGAAGATCAATCATTGTGCAAATCAAGTATGTCACGCTGTCTGACAGCGTAACTAATAAAGTTTATGTCTTCGATTAAATTAAATGCTTCAACTTTGATACCTGGCGTAGTTTGTCAGGTTTGATACACGAATTTGACAAAAATAATCAACCGTGGTCTGTAAAGACACCCTAAATGGACAGTGGACACGCTATGGTTATATAACTGGCTGTTTTGTTTAAATGCACAATGATCCTGCAAACGTGAACGACACCTCATCTTATTTTCCCTTCTAGTTAACATGGAAAGTGACAGCTATACAGACAGGATAATCAATAAATGGAAGAGAATGAACATTATATCTCTAAGCGTTCCATATATGGCTCGCAATCTTGAAACATATTAACGAATCTGTCGAGTCAGCGTTATGGAGTTATGCACCAGCGACTAAATTTAGATCAACGCCGACTGTACGAACTCCATCATTTACGTAGAATATCACGAGCTCTGCTGGTCACTTGTGCCTCCACTTTCTACTGCTGGTCACTCTATTTTGTATCTTCGCTGTGATGATCAAAAGATCATTTAAAAACTTTGATTAAGTTTTGTGCACGTCATATTGTTACACTGAAAGTACCATTAAAACCACATGAGAGCTGAATAAGATATCATTATCGGGCGTTTTACAATAGAACTCATTATCAAGATTGGTCGAACGTTTCATCTGTGCTATAGGTTGTTAATACTTGTTCTCACGTTTGATTTCTCAGCTAGCGTCACTTAAAGATATTGACTTAGAGTTGTAAGTGCCAAGTTCACACAGTTATCTACTGTTCATTTTGCCAGTATTACCAGTAATTATGTATGCGTCATTTACATAATATCCACTATAATTAAGGAATATGACGGAGTTTTACAACACAACGGAAGTGTGGCTGGTAAAGAACTGGATCTCAGTCAGTGACATGGCTCCTTACAATATATTCCTGGGACTCCTCGCATTCGGGTGCACTCTCTTAGGAACACCTGGAAACATCCTGGCAGGTATATACTTCTGGTCTCACGCCCACAAGCGAGTCAGCACTCACTTATATGGGCTGCTCTGCCTGGCTAACAGCTCCATCTGCGCAATGAGCCTTGCTGTGGCACTCTCAGGAATGACAAATAACTCGAGCATTCTGTTCAAATACCAGATATTCTGTACCATCTGGGGTGTAGCCTGGTCAACACTGGACCGCATGATTGCTTGCATCCTAGTTGTGTTCAGCTGCACCCGGATCATTACCCTGCACTTCCCCTTCCTGAACATCAGTAACCGCTCAGCCCTGATCCCTGTAGCTGTTTACTTCATTCTGAGCTTGGTGCAGGGCTTACTCCCTCTAATAAGTGGGACTGACTACAAACACATTCCTTACCACACTTCCAGCTGTTTATTTGATATGGTTGAAATATTCCCGTACGGCTCGGTGGGCTACTCAACAATGGTTGGGTTCATCGTGTTGGTGCAGTTTGATCTGCTGATCTGCCTCATGATCATAATGATCTGTAAAGCTACCTGGATGTTGAGGGACACACTCCGGAACAGAGCCACTCCCCGGAGACACTCCAGAGAGGCAGCGTGTGTCACAATGATCATGATAACTGGAACATACGTTGTGTTGAACCTTCCCTACTGCATCCTCTACACTCTTCATTTCGTGGAAATCGTGGCTGGCATCAGGATCATGAAGTTGAGTCTGAGAAACAAAACAGCGGATATCCTGACTAAGGTGGTGTATGAGCTGACTACACTTCACGTTATCGTGATAACATCAACAGTGGAGATGGTCGTTCTCTACAGCAGGAACTCTCACCTCAGAAACTACGTCTTCGCGACGCTGTGCTTCTGGAAGTTTTCTTCTCAGAACGAACAGAGACAAACTTTCTCATCCCGGATCACAAGTGACACTCAGTTCAACAGTAGAAATGTTACAATCGAGATGGTCGACATGAAGAGGTGGAAATCAGCTATTTTTAGACCCGCTCTGCCAGATCCAACAAAAACCATCCCAGCAAGCAGAAGTGCCCCAAACCTCCAGTTGGAGTGGTTGGTGAACACGAACAGACCAGACATGAAAAGACCAAGATCTAACTCGGACGACGTTGGCCTCAGATCTGCTGAAATGGATGTTGTAAACATGTCAACATCCTCCCCCACATCCAGAATGTTTTAAATAAACTCGCAGATCAAATTTTCATCCCTAACTATTTTCTTATGCCGTAAAAAAGAGGGAAAAAAGATCGAAGGTGTTTTGAAAATTTCCTCTGTGGTACCAAATCTCCTTCAAAATTTCCTCACAGATAATCAGCCGTCTTCCTGGATGTGGGCATCTTCCAGAATGTGGACAGAAAAGGAACCGAAACACGATACGGGAGTAATCAGACTTCATTTCATATTATGGGCATAATTGGGGACCTCAAAACACGATCAAAGAATAATCAGGTGTAACATTTTTGAGTAAATGAAACTCATAATAAGTGTGAACGATTCTCTTCGTAGAAATTGAAACATTAATCCAGGGGTATTCTGATTAGGTAACTTGAACTTGTGGTTAGGATGATGAGCAATACCGGTGCAGGCTGGTTTACATGTTCATTAGAGGTTAAGAGAACTTATATTCTCATTAAAGTTTAAAGATCTGAGTATTACGTTCGTGTGGTTTCATAAAATGCACCTTATTTTCCTAGCAAAAACTTCTATGTAATCATTAAACGTCGATTTAATTAATATTAATTTGTGGATAACATTTTTAAAAGCATCAGTTAATCATGTCATGATATCTCGGAAGATGATTTTACTTGAAACAAGCCCGATATCAGTCCTGGCTCAATTAATTACGGAGCGCAATTAATGACAATTTCTCACGGGGGATCTTTGATCAGATCCGGTTTGTTAAGTTCCGGTGTAATGACCGATGAGTAGCAGCGTGAGAAGGTGATAAGTGCACGTGTGATCTGCGCACGTGTTACAATGATCTGCGCACGTGTTACTGACGACCTGTGCAATGTGATAAGTATACCAGGTGTGATGTTTAAATTCCGGGGGGTGTCTAACCTGTTCCCAGCATTGAGGTAACAGCTCCTCCTCCAACCTTCTCCGATCAACACTCCGAGCAAACGCCTCACATCCGGCCCTAATTATCTGCCTGGGAACGCAGCAATTACTTAATCAATTTATTAATTAGGAGACGTCAGAGAATTTGAATCTTTTGACGCCGCTCACTGTCTCTTATCCGGATCCAGGAGGAATATCCCATTTAAGTGAAAACGTCATATCTTAATAGGTCCAGGGGTGGAGAACAGACCGGGGTTGAGAACACGAAACTTCTCAAATCGAAACCTCGCTGTGAAATTAGGGGAAGTAGATCTACCTGGTAAATTCCTGGGAATTCCTGTATCGGTCATGATTTTACACCTATTTAGCCGAGTAAAGAGTTGGAATAAAGAGGGTGCAAATTGGTAAGTTAATACACAGTGACGTCTGAATGGTCAACATAATTATCTAGTACTAGTTTCTAACTGTCTCTACACGTCAGAACAACGAACATTTCCCAAATATTTTAAATACTAATGTGTTGTGATGATAGAGCAACAAAGAGGATGCCAGGTACCAAAACGAGGGCACAAGGCACCACAGTGAAACGGCCACGGGGGGTGTGGGACCTACCTTTGGTCGAAGTCAGGTTTCTTGACTAGGTTGAAGAGGAGGTGAAGGAGGCTGTCCCGTGTGGTAGGGTTGGGGTGTTGTACGGCTAGACACAGGATAACTGGCAACAGCTCCTGAGTAGTTAGTTATATTATTAGAAAATTACAAAAAGTGATCAAATCATATCAAAATAGGACTTCTAAGTTACAACTCTGTATTTTAATAAAAGTTAAATTGTATGTACTGTCAAGAATTTGACTCACTAAGTGGTAAAATAATCTCCCTATATTTTGTTTCACAGTAAGATTGTAAACTCCTAACCTCTCTTTTGTTGAGGAGGACGTGAGGCATGATATGAGGCAAACACCTTCCCATAACCAAGATCGGATCATCCGAGATATGCGATATCTCCTCACTCAGCCTACACTGACCAGCACCTTCAACTAGGACCTTCAGAGAGTTGGCGAAAAAGTGGGATACGCTGTACTCAGGCAGTGTTATTCCTGGGGAGAGTTTTAATTTACTGAAATTGGTTATAAAATCAACTCAAAGCACTCAATGCATGTCAGGCGAAATATTCATCATGTTAAATATATTCTATTTAAATCCTAAATTATCTTGATAAATAAAAATACAGATCAATCAAAATACAGATTAAAATAAAAAAGATCAACCCTATTTCTAAACCAGTATCTGGTGCGGTTTCTGGACTGGTTCTGTCTCCATCAGATCCACTGATGTTTTCCCCCACTTGATTACCTGACCAATGTTAGGGATGTGAGATGAAATATCATCTGTATCATTCACATTTTAAGATGAAAATACTGAACACTCTTGTAGTTGCTGGCATTTGAAAAAATAAGCATTTAGGTCTTCTCACCAGTGTTACAGTCAGATGAGGATATGACCTCGACATCAGACGATTCTCGGGTTGTATTTTTAGAACTGATGTTTTCGTTTTGTTCCTCCTCTACAAAAACAGGCGTCTCTTTCCCTTGATCGCAAACAGAGTCTGATGATTCTGCAGCCTGTTCCTCAACTTCTGGAGACTCCTCAATTTTTACATCCTCTGGACTCACTTCACTCGGTTTTAACTCAACGTCAAGTGGGTTATTTTCAGCATCTGTAAATAAACCAAATTCAGTCAGTACTGCCGTACTAATTTACATAACGTTGAATAGCTGAGTAAACACGCACATCTCACGTTTGTGAAAGAGCTGCACATCTCCATCTCGTTTTTCTGTACTTGTGACTACTTGAAATCATCAGAATGAAAATAATCTTTTCATATCAAGTTAAATCCTATTAGTTTTGAAAATATTTGAAAATATATAATATTATAAAAAAACCCTCACCTTGCACTGGTGAGATGGATTTAACCGTGTCCTCTCTTAAACTTAAAGTTTCTCCGTCCCTCTCCTCGATATCTTGCTCGTCCTCAGTAACAGATACTATCCCATCAGAGACACCTCCATCAGCCTCGACCCCAGCATCCTCGTCCTCTTGGTCCCCAATCTCACTGGGGCTAGTTGAGACTGGAGATTCTCGTGTTGCTTCCGCTAAACTCAACTCTACCTCATGTCTCTGTTAATTTCAGTTAGTATTACTTCAAAGTGACTGTACAATGAAACATTTAGAAGAAATGCTCATTTTATTTAGGAATAAGTCTTTGAATCTCAGCGTGGGGATTTAAGTTCAAATTTTCGATTGTAATACAAAATAAAATCAAGACATATTAAGCATAATCAAAATGATATGCGAGTGTGATGGCGGACACCAAATTACCATTACTTTGAGACTGTCGTCATTGGTCGAGTAGGAAGTCATACTGCCGACTGCTGAACCAGCATCTTGACACCTTTCTTTGTCACTGCTGTCTTGGGTTATCACCGAACTGAAGAAAAGGTATATTACTGCTCTGGATCATTCTAAGTGCACAATCAATAAGCTATGAGGATTGTCCAATTCGCGAAATTGTAGGCATGTGAAAAATTAGCAAGCGAAGCAGTTTAGGACCGTTCGCGTTCTAAAAGGGAAAATTAAATAAAGAAATTATGCCAAAAAGGAGAATATAGTTGAAATAGCCTAAGATGAGAAGTACGGACTCGTTTAGGGGGAAAAGTACGTACTTGTACGCACTTTTGAAAAGTCCGACTCATACGACGTACGATTCAGATAGAATTTTTTTGTTTTTGAATTATTATCATCGGGGCCGTTGTAAAATGTAATTGTTAATTGCCGATGTTAGAGAAAATATACCTGATACCGTTCGCGAACAAATTAAAGACAGAATTCTTAGGCCAGGCAAGCATTTAAAAGTGAAACAAAAATTCTACAAAATTACCAGACAATTTACTTATTTAAACTGCTTGTTTCTCTTAAAGTTTAAGTTTAAGTTAATCGACGATTGAAATATAGAAACACAAGTTTTTGAAAACGCTCAATATTAGTCCGTAACATGCGATTTAGAACTCTTCCATCGATTTCTAGAAGGAGAACTTTTCAGTAGAATTGAAAAGTACGTACGACACGAGTAAATTGAAAAGTCCGACTCATTCGTACTTCTCATCTTAGGAAATAGCCCTAAAACAGTGATTGTATAAACCAGTCGGATGTTTGACGTCTATTTCTCTCATCCTTTGTTTTTACAGCGCCCTCTTCAAAGTAAACTATCACATTTCCATCTGATGATTCAGATTTCCGAGGCTCCTGCAGAAATAGTTGAAAGTTATTGTTGGCAATCTGCTAATTTACAAATTTTGTGTACAGTTTTTCATTTGGCCTCCATCAAGGCTAATTAAAACCATGCATTTCAATGAAACTATGCATTTCGATGATTGATAAATTTAATCAGACCCAAACTGTGCTGTAATTATTGCTTCAATTTGCACTTGATAATTTCACACACTCATGCAGTTAAAAGAACCTTGGGAACAATTACAAGATCAGTGCTGTTCTTCTCGGTGGTCTTGACACTTTCCTCGGTTTCAGACAACAGTTTCTTTAGCTGGGTTATCTGTGATATTGAGGCGTTCATTTCGGACGTCAGGGCTGAGCACTTGTTCTCGAGGACCTTGCATTTCTCTTCTAAAGATTGTATCTGAAATACGAGCGTTGAAAATTTACTATCTTTATTTACGTTCCTGCATATACCTATAACTTTACATACTCGATCATAAATTTACGAAATCTGATGCAATATTATCCGAAATTCAAAGTCAAACCTGATGGTGATCACTGGTTCTGTAGATTCCTAACAAGCTGGGCGGTCGAGGACAGTTCAGGCCAACATCCTCCCAATCCTCCAGATCCTGATCTCCGGACTCCTCGGAGAGAGTTATTGCAGTGAGCTTACAGTTCTGGGTAAGCAGGTGCTCTGAGATAAGGAAGTTCAGGCACCGTCTCTCGTAGGGGAGGATGGGACCCTTGTGTTCGGAGTTGGAGGAGTTGCGTTCTTTGTGCTCAGGTGCTGGGATCATTGATAATTTCCAAGATGTTTCTAACCTCAAAACAGTGCTAACAAGTTTATTCAAAGCGTTTTACTCAATTAAACTGATGCAGATGCAAGTACAAGCTTTTGGCTGTTATCCAGAATAAGAAAGTATAATTTCTGCAAATTTGTATTTTCGACCTGTCAGACTTTGAATTGTCATAATTAACAAATCTACGTTACAAAACAACAGATACCTGCACTAGAAGTAAGAGTGCCACGTAGCGCATTTATAGTGTCCTGTGCCTTGCGCAGCTCAAACTCCAACACAGTGACCCTCTCATCAGCCACATTTACAGGATCGTCGTCAGAGTAACGGGATACCAGGTCCAGAGAGTCGAACGTCTGGAGAGAGGTGGACCGGGCTGAACGGTGTGGTGTTACGTGGTGCTTTGTTGCCACTTGTTAAATGTGGTACTTTGGACACAATATTATGTTCTTGTCAAAGATTTGTTTATTTATGTAGGTATTTGATTAGCTTTCTTAGAAACGGTTGACAATTTCAAGACAATTTTTTATCACCCGGTATTCTAACAGGGTCGAATAAGTTATTACGTAATCACAGATTGCAATATCCTAACAAATATTCAGGATCATGGGGCATATATGTAAATCTGAACATGGTATTATCTCAGCAGCACAGATTGATCGTTGTACTGACACAGCGAATCCATAAGTTATTAACATTGAAGCAACTGAGATGAGAAACATTTGTATTTTACTTCTTTAAATTACATGAATTTTTGAATATGACCGAGAATTTATTAAGACCCTGATTTTTCTCAAATCCAAAGAGGATTTCAAAGGTTCCATTCAAGTGGCTTGATTCTAATTTATGTTAAGATCAAACATAAATTGAGGTTACATTTACGTAGTTTCATTATTATTGAGACGAACTAATAATTACTAAAACATTTTACAAGACACAAAAAACCTTGCTGACCATGAGATTTATATTTGTCTCGGTTTTTAGACTTTTTAGACTTTTTCTGCTGATCTGAGTTAAGTGACATTGTTTTATCGCAAAAAAGCAGGAAACTTAGCTAAAAGATGAATGCTTTTCCACTCTTTTTAACATAAAGCCTCTGACGCAGCAACTCACGTATATTGTAGAACGTCTCAAAGTTGCCGGGATTACTGAAGAAATCTCTGAGAGAGTTGATTTCATGGTTGTGTTCCAGAAGCTCATAGTAAAGTTCCAGAGCGGAGAGGTAAAGTTTCTTGTCGAGGAGGGCGACCGCTATCTCCTCCCACTCCATAACGAGGGGGGAGGAGGAGCGTGAGGGAGGAGCAGGTTCACCCAGTATTCATATCACCTAGTTGAATCAACTTTGTAATTACTGTCAATTCAATTACATTACTTTTGGTATTTAACTTGTTTTAATTGTCATCAAATATTTGAAGCACAAACACTATTTTAAGTCACAGCTCGTGGAGCAGACAAGTTAGCCATGAATCATGATAATTAATTTGGTAAATATTATATGAGTATGGAATGTAATTTAAGCCAAGCTTTCTGTTATTTTTAAACAGTTTTAAAGTTTTGGAATTCATGTCCCGTATATTCCCGTATATTTATTTCACTACTCTCTGATGTCCAGTATATTTTAAGAATTGACAAGAATGAAGAAATAAAACCAACGAAATTAATGAAAAACCACGCACGAACACTAATACATATTCAAAAATCACGTAAAGATGTAAGTTATTCAATAACATGCGTAAATTTATAATCTAATAAAATCGATTAAAAAATCGTATATTATAGTCTATTTTTCTGTGAAAATTATAAAAGCAATCAGCATTACGCAAACGCAGTGAAACTTGTCCAGACCAGAATTTTGGTTCGATATAAAACAAACTGGAACGCTTGATTTAGGCACTCTGGGTGATTTCTATCTCCAAAGTCAAACAAAACTTCAAGTTTCACTGCAATCCACCAAATGGTGTCACTAAATATTGAAAATCAAATCTTAACATGCTCTCAAAAGAATCCAGTTATATACAGAGATATGTAAATGAAGAATCAGATCAACTGAAAAACTTGATTATAAGATTAAATTTAACTCTATACTCTATAATGAATGTAAATATGATAATTCTTAGGCAACAAAGCAACAAAACAGATCTACTGTCCCATATTATATATTGAGCAAGTCTTAAAAACCTAATCAAGCATACAATCAGGATACAACGCTAAAAATATAGTTCATTTCAACACAATGTCCGAGTTAAACGGGAGGGGTGTACTGCTGGTTGGCGTTAACATCAATAATAGTAAAATGTTTCTTCACTCTGAAGATCCGGCCAACAGTGTCGTAGACATCCTTCTCTTTCACTATGTCAGGAATGCTCTTGGAGGAAACAAATTCCACTCCAGCTCGTCTGCAGCGGGCCATCATTCCAGCTGATGTGTCGGGCATAACACCTGAGGGGGAGGGGGGTGTTAACACTGTAACATGTGATATTATCACGTGATTAAGCTCTGTCTCAATGGCTAAGATGAACAATTTATCAAAGTTAAGAAGTTCAAGCGCAACTGACTTGCAGAAATTTAAGCAGGCACATATATGCATAAGTAGCTACGACATAAAATTATCTAAGAAGATCCCCAATAACTTACCCCTGATAGCCTCGTTAACAACCACAGTCCTGAAGCCGTGTCTAGCAGCATCTAGCGCCGTGAACCCGACACAGAAGTCAGTAGCAATGCCACAGACCACTACGTCAGTGACCCCCTTCTCCAGGAGCATGTTGTAGAGTGGGGTGTGGGATGTGTCACCGTTATCCCAGAAGCCACTGTAACTGTCTACACAGCATTTCATTCCTGGAGAGAGACAGGGCGGTTAGACTTTGCAGAGTGAAAAAGGGAGAAATAGATGAGGAGAGGTTACGAATAAAAAACTATTATTATATCATGTTATAATATAATGTGATAATATATGTAGCAACATGATTCAGTTACTTAGATAAGACGTTTCAACTTGCAATCCTCAACAAGTTTAAGAGATTACGTAAGATCATGGTTAGATGAAACTATAACGTACCTTTATTGACCCTAACTTCATTAGGAAATATCTTCAAATCCTTATGAAACTCAGCTCCAAAGGACCCCTGAATGCAATGATCAGGCCACAGGGTCTGCTTCAACTCTGGGGGACCACTAACTACGACAGTCTGGAACATGCAGCTATCGCAGCCCTTGATAGTGGACTTTTCTGACGTGGGCCACAAACACTTCTTTACGTTGGAGTGAAATGAGATGTGGTCTGTTGGGTGCCAGTCCGCGGTTTTGTAGATGTGGCTAAAGAGAGGCCCCATCTCGTTGATAACCGGGACAACCATCTCTCCTGAAATTATTGCTTGTTAGTGTTTGCTATTATTATTGAGTACAGTCGGTCTAGTATAGGTGTATCATGTATTCATAATCACTAATCAGTCTAAGTAATAGTATCCTAGCCAGGGACAAAAGGATTTCGCGGCATGTACAAAATCGCGAAATTTCCCATTCTCCGCGACAAATTTTATGTATAGTTTAATGTATAGCCTGTTAAATTTCGCGGTACCGCGAAATTTGGCCAAAATAATCGCGAAATCCTTTTGTCCCTGATCCTAGCGGTGAGGCGCCGAGTGATATATATTGCAAAAACAATCAATAAATTAGTATGAAGTTTATATTTTTACCAGACTTTGCTTGGATCTAATGAAACGATAGATACAAAGTTTCAATATTAATCTCTTTGATCATTTTTCTAGTAATATGGAAACCGATCAAGGTGATGAGTAACGATAGTAACATATTACTTAATATCACTTAATAATAATATTGATTATATTTGAATATTAAATCAATGATTGCAAGAGATTTGAATATTATATCGATACACCGGAGACTGCTCGACACCATTGCAATCTACAGACGACTGCGTGGTTAACCAAACCATTTAACCAGAAGAAAATCTTAGCGCACTACACATTTAGTGGCGTAATTACTTAACATTGACTTACTGACTAGTGACTATGATAATATGATCCACAAAAACAGTGTTATTTTATATTTAAATTTAACTTACCTTCGTTAACAGCCAAGGATCCAGAGATAAAGTCGTTCTGCACATCCACGATGATCAAAGCAAACACCTTCTTCTCATCACTTGCTGCTGCCTGAATATTTGATATTTATCGAAACTTAATTTAACATGTATTATGACAATATGTTAAACAGATGAGTCCATTCAAGATGCAATTTAACTGAACAAATCAGAACTAAATTTTCAAGCTAAATGTTCTGAATAACCTGAAGACAAATGATATCATCATGTCCTGCACCAACCTGAAGGAGAGCAACAATAGTAGGAGAGTAGAGAATATCCCCTTCAACCTTGCTAGCATCCAGCAGCTTCTCAGCCCTGACCCCGTGTTTATTGAACACATCTTGTACCACACTGCGGGAAACGTACATAGCCGTTGTCTGGTTATCTGTCTGGGACTGACTGCAGATGTCGTCAAATATCTTGCCGACCAGCGACACAGTTAGGGAGGGGTTCTCCGAGCGAAAAGCGGACAAATCGAACATGGCTTGCTAAGTGAATGTGAGAATTAGCGGCGGTCAGAATAGATCGTTTTCTGTATTACCTGACTCGTATTACGGTGATAAAACGCTAGTTTAATCTAATAAAGATCAGTTTCAAATATATGATATCGAGTGGTATTTACAAATTCCTATAGATGAATCACAAAAACGCATGAAAGACTCTGAAAGTTTCCAACTATACATGGTCAAAAACGTTGTAATTGTGAGAAAACAGTCTAGTGGGTTTCTTGCAGACTTTTAAAAGTTTATCAGGACATAATATTATCAACATTACCCCAAATCATATCAAAGTAATCTCCAACTTAACCAACCTTAAGTCAGCTGAATCAATCGTAATAATATCATGATACTGGTAGGCGGTAGCATTGGGTAAATGTGGTATATAAAACACTAAATTAAGGACACATTGAAATACTAATTTGTTTTTAACAGAAAACTTTGAATAAATACAACATTTGATGTTTTATATAATAACATGCTAAAGGATATTTTATGAACGTCTTACTTCCCTAAAAAATAAACTGTAATTATACCATTCCACTGTAAAAAAACTCATTATCATTTGAGTACGAAAATAAATTGTTAATCACTAGTTGTAAGTTAGAGCCGCCTTAAAAAACTCCTTACGTGCATAACCAACACAATCAACAGTACAACAGACTAAAATATATCATAACAATATGTTAAGAAAAAATAAAACACTGAAATTCAATAACACTCTGATAACAAAATATAAATAATTCTTCGGGAGATGAACGAGATAGGAAAATAAGAGAAAGAGACAGTGTTCAATGTATCAAGCTTTGGAATGCCACCATCGGCCGATATCGGCTACCACACAAAGTATTAAATAACACCACTCACCGCTGTAAAACTGGTAATTCTGCAACCTCACTTCTGGTTGTTATACCTAGGTGAACTTGAAAAGGATTTTCCTCTGGGCTTTCCTCTGCCCCTCAAAGATCCTCGACTCCCTCTCCTCCGATTGCTCCCTCTACTTTTTTCAGAAGATGCGTTGCTGCCGGAGGAATTTTTCCTGTTTCGTTGGGTTGACAAGTTCTTTATCGTTGGCTGAGACGGAACAGGTTCAGCTGGAGTGACAGGGTCTGACGGACATTTCAAGATATCTGCATAAGACAACTTACCATCCCGAGCTAACAGGCTTATCTTATCTTTTGCAATGGGGTGAGCTGGCATGTTGAACGGGGGTTGAGTTCTGGAGCTGACTTTGGGACTTTCTTTCTGAAGAGCAGGAGGCTGTTGTGGAGGTGAGGTAGTGTCGGAGGAAACCCCCCACGTGGGCTTATCACACCAGTCAGCATCTTCAGTTCCCATCTGAAACTCGCAGCCCTCAGGAAACTGGTCTAACTTATCCACCAAGTCCTTAATGGAGCTGGTGGAGTTAGCGGAGAGTGTTGAAGAGACGGATATACCTCGTTTCCGGCTGCTCTTCTTGGGCGTGACATCAGTATCTTGGGATACTTCTGGATATTTGAACGCCTCTGTCTGTCCAAAGTTTAAGTTAGCTTGCTGAGTGTTGTTGTCAACAATTGTGGTGTGAGCGGATCCGAACTGCATGTTTATATCCGCGCTTCCTAGAGATCCGAATGTGAATCCCTCTTCGGATCTTTGAGTTGTGTTGAGGTCCATCGTGCCCAAATCGTCTACCAGGCTGCTACGAGCAGATGTGAACCTGAAATTCTATCTGTTAAAAGTTACAGTACCAGCTAAATCATGTCATACAAGATTTGTAGTATGACTCAAAGTGTAAATAATTTTTGTTGATAGTACTCAAAGTTTATATTCGCACATGGAAAAGAATTTTCTAATAAATGAGCTTTAGAAGAATTGAACCTTGAATAAGAAAAAGAGAGAATATATCAAGATTTTGTGCAGGGTTTTAAAATGCTGACTCACGTTTCTCTGAAAAGAGGAATATAATATAACAGTACACGTTGGACTTCGACCCAAACAAGGGTAAGATCGAAATATCATTGTAACGTTTTGTGAGGCAGAAGTCAAACTTAGTGTGTACGTTATTCTTCTTATTTTCAGTTAAATCGGGGAAATTGGGAGATAAAATCGGACAAAAACTAACCCATGCAGGACAAGCTAAAGACATCTTATAACAGAATACATAAAATTTGAGGCGGCAAACCAAAGAAATCTCGAATCACTGATCATTACTCACTTGGGAGACTGATTTAATTTATGTTTTTTAAAGTGTTCTATTTTGGTGTTAATTATTTGTTCGATTGCTCTGAGTTCCCCTTCGTTCCACCTGTTTTTAGATCAAATCAGTCAACCTTTGACGGAGAAACCAGAAGTTTCTGTCGACTATCGACAGACATTTGATTCTGATAAATTTTAGCGCAGCCTCAATCGACCACTTTCGCTACCGTAAAACGGCCAACGGTGGTAGGAAAAAGCGTCTGTCCATCAGAACAAGATTCAAACAATGAGAAACAGAGTACACAAACCTAGGATTATGCGGGTCGTGAGTAGGAGTAACATCTGAGAACCTGTCCGACACTCTCCTCTCACTGTTCTGGAGCGACAACTTCATGTCACGTGACTTAGGATCCTTGTCGGTGTCATGTGACCGGGATCTAACCATCTGGCTCATCTTAGCTGGCGAGGTGCTGCTTCGGTTTAGACCCGTGTTCCCATTTCCGGGCCCGCTCGAAACTGAAACATCGGACAATGAAACAACGAATGTTTTAAGTGAAGCAGAAATCTCGATCAGTCGATAACCGTGAAATAAAAGGTAAGAATTACAAGAACTATAAAAGGGAGAAATATAAAAGAATGTTGAGAAAATGCGCTTGGAGACTGGAGTAACGCGTGCTTGACAAGATACAACTTAATAAATTATAACGAAATTACGCGAGGTTTCCACTAAACAAGTAAAAGGTAACCTTAGCTACGCTAATAAAATAATGGAGTGAGAGAGAGAAATAGAGAGAGAGCGCTGGAATTATAAATATGGCTTTCGAAATTACAAAATGACAAATTATATTGCATACCTGACTAACTGACAATCTTTCCATTAAAATCGGACCAAGTTATCGATAACATCAACAGGCACGCAACACTAATAAAATCAATCCGAAACTGTCCAAGCATAGCATTAGTCAAGATGGCTCCCAAAGCAAGAGGGACTCGCAATCAAAATGCGTGGACTAGAAATGAGCCTGTAGCAGGTGTAACTGTTGCTAGATAGCGAGTACATATATTTATTACTATACCAGCCCAGACTACCCCCTTACATCACAGCTTCAATTACATAATCCGATACTGGCTCTGTTGTCATGCCGCGGGTACACTACCCGGACGCGGATGTGGGAGTTATCAGTCAATGACCAGGATAACTGGTAACTGGTAATCGTACAAGTGAGTGACGACAGTGATGACGAAGCTGCTGCGTCTTGTTTCCATGACGACGTTTCTACAAAAACCTAGAAATAGCAGTACGTGTTTCCAGGAATTAGCCCAGGGTAGGTCAAGCAACTTGTTAGGTCACCACGAAAGTGTCTCTTGCGTGTGATTTAGCGTATCCTAAACGTGAATGTCGACACGTTAGTGACAGCTACATGAGCTATGTTAATTAAATGCGCAAGAAGTTCAAAAGAAAAAGGATTGTCCCGAATTATCACTGATCTTTTGCACGGTGTCTGAAACTAAGCTAAAAGCGGAAGTAGAGGGATGACAGAATGTCGGGAATGTTCGGCTATACGAAAAGTGATGTAGTGCTAATATAGTGATACTCACATTTGCGTCTACCAGTCCTGGGGGACATGTTAGGTGACCTGTTTGAGAAGGGGGAACTGTCTCGTCTGAGGGGATGAGTAGTAAAACCGGGACTACGAGCAAGGGGTGGAGGGCCTGCTTTCCACGCTCCTTGCACTTGACTGTGTTGGGCTGTAGTCTGCCAGTTGTCAATGACGTTGAAGGAGGAGAAGGAGGAGAGTGAGGAGGTGTGTGAAGGTGCGGCCGAGGGGACGTGCTCTTCGTTTAGATAAATCTGAGAGAGATATAGGGTTTAGAATAATTTGCATACTCTATGATATGCTGAAATTGCTGTGATTGCGTTTTAGAGCACGGAAGTTAAGTTTGGGCGGGAAATATTTGACAGGATGAAACGGTATTTTAACAGGATAAAATAGCACTTTTTTAGGAGGAAATAGCACTTTTTTAAGAGGAAAAAACATCCGTTCATTAATTGGTGAAAGTTTTAAATCAGCACTACGCCCTGCTCAGTCTATAATGATATGTATAGCTTCCTCGTTAGCCTACTAAAATACTAATTTGATTGCACGCAGAACAACACTACACATTACACAGTTTACCTCTATTTCACAGGATTCATTAAATCCGCCAATAGCACAGACAACGGGGAAGCTCTTGCTCCAGCTCTTAGGCTTGATTATGTTACCTCTGAACACCAACTTGCATTCTACTGGACTCTTCGGCTTGTCATACCTGTTATTTGGATGATATATCGTAACTCTTTATTGGATAGGCGTGCAGTTAATGTTAAAACATCGAGAAAAGAGACATGGATTGTGTCAAAAGTATATATAAAACGTGATGAAACGTTACTGAGTTACTGTAATAGATATCGCTAAAAGTTGAGTACCTGAAATTCTCCATTACAAATGGCATTCGGTCTCTTTTGACGACGTCGCTATGGGCTATCCTAAACTCAACGCATTTTATGCTCTTCAATGCTATTTTATCACCCTGCAAGAAAAAATATTTGGCGTTTGTTCAGTTATTTCTTTAATATCACTTAAATAGTATCAATATGCACAGAGTCAGGCCAGGTTCATGGTCAATCATTTGAAACTGTCAATACTACAAAAAGGTCTATTTTTAGTGTTAATTTTACTGTACCTCAACATAAACGAATAAGTTCCACTTTGCATTGGTCCCCGGGTAGTAATTGTTCCCAAAGGTTAGGCACAGAGTGAAGAGTGTTCCTGTGTTTTTACTGGCTGCCTTCTCTTGCTTTGTGTTGAGGTTCATCAGGGGTGGGAAATTCTCCAAACTCTGGATCTTATTCTTCAGTTCGTTAATCTAGGAAGTTACAGTAAGACGTTGATTTACCGGGATTCTTGGAGGTAATTTGGATTGATGTTGCTGGTAAATGGAAAACCCGGTAATTCGGGGTTTTGACTTACATTGAACGTGTAGATGAACAATTTTGGGGGAGTGCAACCCCCTGTGGTGGGTGGAAGTGGAGACCTGTACTTTGTTTGTGATAATTCATTACACCGGCCGAAAACACATACACACAATTATAGGTGACACTACTCTGTACATCTAACACCCTGTATTATTTCAGGGCCAGTACCGGCCCAAGCCCTGAGGTATATCAAATAACAACTGCAATAAATATTATCTCCTACTCTCCTTGTAATTACGTGTTATAATGTTTTGTCAGCTTATTAATCAATATATATATATATATATACTGAAATTAGAAACCAAACAAACATTCGTCCTTGAAAATAACAGTGTGGTTGGTGACATGTTGAGATCACATATTTCTCATAACTAACATATTATCTCATATATAATAGGTAACGTAATGACAGGTGTTACAAATAATAAAATTGAAATAACCGGTAAAAGTTTTAAAAGAGTTAGTAAACTTACAGCTTTGAGAATGTCCATCCGGTGCCCGACTGACGATATCCCCATTTTTAGTAGCTCATTTTCAGTAAGATTGAGTAGTCTGTTACCAGTGATGCTGTTCTCAAAAAACTCATTACTGTAGTCGATATCCTGAAACGATCATCCATCATGATACCTTATAATACCTTAAATCCATCATGATAGTAACAGTGAAATCATGATAACTATCATGTTACTAGTAACAGTGCAAACATGAAGACAGGTTGAACTCTTAAGAAGAAATCTGGTACTATCCTAAAAATCAAACTGTAATGCATTGAACAAGTGCCATAATACTGAAATTGAACTTAAACTGTGGAGTCTAGACAAAGAAGCGTAAGAAAATAACGTGGTAGTTAAATCAGATACAACTAACTGGTAGGTTGTAGTTGATCCACTGAACTACTTCGATCTCCTTCCATCCGCAGACTCCTTTCTCCTCGGGAACCATGCTATTCAAAAAACGTGTTTTGTGTTTCAAACTCTCAATCTCGTTCTCCTTCTCCTCCAACTTTTTTGCCCACTGCTTTTCTATCGACTCGAACTCTTTTCTTATGTCCTAAAAATAACGATAGTTTACATTATTGCGGCCGATGTTCCCAATTTACCTCCTCCAATCTCCAAATTCTTAAATTAAAAGTCCAGCTAAACGTTGCATCACAGCTGTAAGAAGTTTAATATCATTAGTATTACTAGAGAAATATGCGAGTAAGTTCACCTCTATTTGTATGTCAAACTCCTCAACCCACTGTTGACGGTGAGAGAGAAAATCGTCAACTTCCTCCGTAAGCGTTTCGTTGAGGAGCATTTTGCCGATAGTTTTATTGATATCCTCAATCGAGGGCCTCTTATCAGCCTCATCTTCCCAACACTTTCTGAAAATTAAAAATTCTTGGTAAAGCAGTTTCAACCAAAATCGTAATTCTTGCGACAACAAATTGAACAGTAAACATAAAAAATATGTAACCTTCTAAGTTAACAACAAAACCTAGAAGCCGTGAAAGTTCAAGGAGCAATTGGAGCTTAGTTTGGAGAGTGTTGATGGAGTATACAACGGAATCCTATTCCCAGGAGTTTACCAGCGTTATATATGCCGCAGTTTCTAGCTTCTGCTCCTAATTCTAGCACTGACACAAGGAAGGAAGCCGCAAAATTACGATCAAACGATTAGGAACATTCTAAAACTACCGGTGATTTGGTAGACAGGAAGCCGTTAGTGACGTCACAAAGCGTGATCGGTGCAGACAAAAAGAGATTGCACTGCACTTTGTCGGCGGTAGCACCTACTTTATGAGATTAGCGAACTCCTCAGGGCAACCCTCGGGTATAAGCGGACGGCGTTTGCGTTGACAAACACCAAACATTATGTGTGGGTCTTCCTCGCCTTCGAAAGGTATCTTTCCGGTTATCAGTTCCCATAGCAACATGGCAAATGAATAAGTGTCACACTTCTCCGAAACAATTGACTGACGCATCACCTGAAAAGTGACATTATTCTTATATAATAGAATCCGTTATCTCTTAAAAAGAGGATCCAGTTATTATAACTTTGAAGGAATGTAATGTACCAGCTTCCAAATTTGATGGTACGATAATCGACAGGTTTTGGATTATGGCGTACCTTTCATACCTTAAAATCCTGACCCATATTATTACTTAATAATTAATATGTATCAAGGTGTACAGCCTAATATCGTTTACAGTGGTATGTGATTTTTGTATCTAGAGTGACACCTAATTATCATTAAAGTAACTAGGCGCGTAGCACGAGTATACTGATAAAATGAATACAATATGTACACTGATAACATGACAAGCGATTAATTTCGGCCGATAATTAACCACTTGCACTGATAGGTATGATAGCGGGCAAAGTGTTTAAAATTTATCCACATCAACCCTATTTAAAATACATACCTCAGGAGCCATCCATGCCACAGTTCCGTGAAGTCTTGAAAATCTAGTCACTGTCTTGTTGAGCTCCCTACTGGACCCAAAGTCACAAATCTTGGCGATTCTCTTTGCACTTGCTATAACTACGTTCCGACTCTTCAGATCTCTGTTGTAAATATTTCCATTGCAAATAACAGTGTGGTCAGTGAATTATAAAATTAAACGTCAAGTTAAGCTAATAAAGTTAAGGTAAATCTGAGTATCTATTGGCAGTATCGTCATAGCTGTCAGCTTTGTAATTTTATTAATATTCTAAATCACATATTTAGTGCAGGGTGGTCCTGATAATACCACAATTTTCTGCGAGCTGACATGTTAACCAACTAGATATAATAGGTATGTTATGTCATATATTTTAACATACCTGTGAATTATTCTTGGATCGATTCCGTTGTGAAGATAGTTCAAACCAAGGGCTATGTGACGTGACCAGATGAGCATTTGTTCAAAATCTGGAGGATCTTCTCGGATGACTTGGTACAGTGATCCATGTTCAGCATATTCTGTAATTATTTGCTTGATATAAACAGTTGACTAGCCAAAGCGTTGTGTGCATGCAAAAATGTTGCTTTTAACATAATAGCTAACTTATTTTATATTTCAAGACTGGGTTTAAAATGTGTAAATGTTCAATTTGGCAAGAAAGTGTTTATAAAATATGTTTTCAGTACAGACGTTTATCATTACAGACGAAAAGTCGTCACAAAAACTGCTTATAATGCCTTGTTTAAAATTCATTTATAACAAATTTTAAGTGAAAGGAGCTCAAATTCACAAAACATAACTAACCTAGAACAATTGCTTTAAAATGTACTTCCTCCACTGCACCGAGAAACTGAACTATATGCTTGTGCTGGATTCGCTTCAACACAACTATCTGATTGAGAGCTGAAGTAACTTTTCAGTCGCTTAGAAACTGAGAAATATGCATTGCCCTTTTAAAATATATTTCACATTTCTTCAAATCTGCACACTATACAACTTCACAACTACCATAAAAGAAATGATAATAGAAAGCATAGAATAACGAATTTTTGTTCCTATTCTAGAAGATTCCTCTAAATAATCTAAAGCAAATTAGCAGGCTGAAGCCAGATCAAAGCATAATCTTACCTCTGGATCAAACTCGAGAACATGTTTGACAGCTACTACTTGCGGCTTTGTCTTCCATAGCGCTTTGTATACTGCACCCTGTGCCCCTGTAAAAGAGATATTGCTTTGTTTAATATTACTATTGAAGTAACACAAAATTCAATACTTTTTATCTTAAACTTTTCAAACAATACATAATTATACAGAATTGAATGCTTCTAAATAAACCCAGTTATACAAGGAGAAAACCGATATAGCCCTAAATTCCACTATCCCAGTATGAAACCCAAATTATGTATTGAAAGAGGGGTACCAAAACACAGTAGTGTGCAGTAAGAAATACCACACCCGCAATAACATTGGGCCCTAGCAAAAAATTAATTAATCAATGAATTAAAACATATAATATGGTACTTATAGAAAATATATCACTCTAAAGGCTCCTTCTCCGAGCTAATGACTCTAAAGTTCCTGATAACATGAACTTTGTCAGGCTCTGCTGTCCTTTTATTGAGTAGCTGGTCGACAACTTTCTTGTAGGCCATCCTGTCTGCAGCTGATCTATCAGGAGTGATGTAAACTGAACTAAACCCGTCTACATGTCTTAGTAGCTTAGTCTTGCTCAAGATGGTACGAGCTTGATCTGAGCCTGACAAAATGAATTTCACTGGCCTGACTCGTTCACTTGTGTCCTTTCCAACTCGTTTACATCTCAAAATTTTCGGTTTTTCGTTGAGATGGTCCAACAAAATACCAGATACCTTAGCATCCAGGTTTTCCTCCGTCTCTGGAAGCCCAAAGATAATCAGACTTTTACTTCGATCATCTTCTAGGGCAACCCTTTTCACTGCAGCTTGGATCTTCTTCGGTGCAAAGGCGTTTTTGCACGTGTTTTTCAACAGAGACGAAAAGGTTTTGATCTCTTTCTGAGCTGCAATTTTCACAGTTCCAATCTCGTCATCCTTCTTCAAAGCTAACTTCTCCTGCAAATCATTGATTTTTGCCATATCTTCTTCTTGCTTAGTGAGTAACTTCTCTTGCAGTTCTATGATTTTGGTCGCATCTGCTATTTTTTCTTTCCTGAACATTCGGTTGTCGCCAGCTGTTTCTGAGGCGGATTGTAACAATGGTCCACAATAATTGTTCAGTATCCAGCACATTGTTTCTAACCATTCTGATAACCTTTCTCTAGGCACACTTCTCTGGTCCAGTTATCAAATCGCACATCATCGTTGTGTTCAACTCCGATTTTACTTCTAATCTCCTTGAAAATACTGTCCGTCGCCATGTGTATCTGATTCACATATTCCGTAAGGAACTGGCCATTCTCAACCATAGCATCATCTACCATCTCAATATGTTCACTCTGTAGCGGATAAGGCATCGTACACGTTGTACAGAAAATGTACAAACAATGTATACAAATCTACAAAGCCAGAGAGATAATTCAACGCGCACACAGAACTACTGATAAGAGAGCTACAATTTAGCAACGAATGTAAAAGTGTAAATGTGAACTGTGTTTAAACCATTACGTGTAAAAGGTACAGTTTGTCTTCGATATGAATTAATTAAAGCTGTGGCACCCTGAATGTTTACCAGAATTTTTGATTTATCACAAGACAAATCAGGGATTAACTGCAATTATAAGAATTATTAAAATCAAAATTAAGTTTTACAGAGAATGACAAATATTGTTGTTTGCACAGCACTGAAATATTGTTTATCACCTCTTCCAATCTGCTCACTAAAATTCAGCTCATCCTTGCCTATCTCCAAATACGGCTTATTTGACAGCATTTCCTGTCCATTTGTTATCACCTACTACTAAGGAAAAATCAGTAAAGATAACAATGACGTTAAACAATTGTAATAGGGGGGGGGGGTCCAAGGGGAACTTTGGGGAGTTTTGGGGAACTTTTTTTTGGGGAACTTCAGGAAACCTGGGGGACTTTCCCAAAGTTCCCCAAAAAATTATCAATGAAACAAATAATTTTGGGGAATTTTGGAGAACTTTTTTTTGGGGAACTTCAGAAAGTTCCCCAAAATTTCCCAAAGTTCCCCAAAAAAATCATCATGCCAAAAAAATTATCATGCTGCAAGTATCAACAAGTAATTAAGATTATACCTTATAATTGTATATTAGAGAAATTTTGAATAATTTTGAATAATTTTGGGGAATTTTGGGGAACTTTGGGGAACTTTTTTTTGGGGAACTTCAGAAATCTTGGGGGACTTTCCCAAAGTTCCCCAAAGTTCCCCTTGGACCCCCGGGGAGGGGGGGGGGGGGGTCCAAGGGGAACTTTGGGGAACTTTTTTTTGGGGAACTTCAGGAAACCTGGGGGACTTTCCCAAAGTTCCCCAAAAAATTATCAATGAAACAAATAATTTTGGGGAATTTTGGGGAACTTTTTTTTGGGGAACTTCAGAAAGTTCCCCAAAATTTCCCAAAGTTCCCCATCATGCCAAAAAAATTATCATGCTGCAAGTATCAACAAGTAATTAAGATTATACCTTATAATAACATACATGTTAACATTAATGGGTATTAATGTATATTAGAGAAATTTTGAATAATTTTGAATAATTTTGGGGAATTTTGGGGAACTTTGGGGAACTTTTTTTTGGGGAACTTTTTTTTGGGAACTTCAGAAATCTTGGGGGACTTTCCCAAAGTTCCCCTTGGACCCCCCCCCCCCCCCCCCCCCCGGCCCCTGTAATAGTTACAAGAATAAAAAGAGATGGAAAATAAAAACTATTGCAGTTTCAAGCAGAAACATTATATAAAAATTGTTCTTTTGATAAGGGTTACTTTTCCCAGGTTCAACCTGAATCCTTAGCTTAAGAATGGGATGAGGAAATTCATTCAACAAGATTTCCTTTATAGATAGATTTGTAGTTTGTCCAATGTCTATCCTATTAATACAATGTTAACAGCAGCTCAGGTGACAGGTTACGTAGGTAATCCTGAATGTCCCTCACTCAGTGGTGTAACGAAGGGCCCTGCTGACCCCGCCGTGCAGGGGGGGGGCGCCATCTTAGGGGGGGGGGGCGCCATCTTAGGGGGGGGGGGGCGCAAAATGGTAAAGTAAAGTAAAGTAAAGTAAAGTAAAATTTATGACATCACATCATCACACATGTCTACAAACTATCATCGCACTGTGTGAAAAAATATATAATAAATATTTCCCCACCAACATTAATTAATTATCAAATACAATATTTAAAAACAATTTCATCAAAAACATTATCCTATTTTAAAAACTTCCCAGTGGAATAAAGATTTATAAAACGCTTCTTTGCCACATAAGGATGGAACCAAAGATAATTGTTATGTTTCTCTTTATTACTGACATAACTGGCTCCCTCAATTCTTACTAAAACTTCATTAGAAACATTCCAAAAAAAGCAATCATTTGTAATACTTTTAGAAATCATATCTATCTTATATCCTTCTAATTTAATTTTAAAACCTAAAACTGTCACAGAGTTCTTGACGTCCGGAGGGAGTTTGTTCCAATATGGAATAACTCGCTCCGGGAGAAAAGACTTCTGGATATTCTTGACCTTTGTCACACTTTTATTACATCTATTGGATGAAACCAGATTAAGACCTGATCTGCTTGGTCTGAACAAGTCTGAACCATAATCTGTCATAGCATTAATAACCTTAAAAGCTTCAATAAGGTCCCCACGTATTCGCCGCTCTGCCAGCGTTGTCAAATTGAGGATTTCCAGTCTACGGCTGTAAGGAAGAGTACCCACCTCATCAATCAGACGGGTAAACCGCCTCTGGACGCTCTCCAGCTCCAAAACAGTCCCCCAACTTCCATGAGCCGCAGGTGGATTCCACAATTGGACACAATACTCAAGATGAGGTCTTATTAAAGCTTTATATATAGCAATCATAACAACCTTTTCTCTAATAACTAAATTCCTTACAATCCAACAAATCATACGATTTGCCTTAGCGATACATGCTTTGATCTGTTCGTTCCAAAGCAGGGAGCTATGGGTAATAACCCCCAAATCTTTTTCCTGATCAGATACTTCAAGTTCTATACCATTTACCTTATAATTTAAATTAGGATTGTTGTTAAAATTAATGTGCACTACTTTGCACTTGGCAGGATTAAATTGTAAAAGCCAAATACTTTCCCAAACTGAACTAATTCTTCGATATCTTCAGCAACACTACCGTGGTTAGCTGCATTACCAATTAATTTAAGATCATCAGCAAATAACTTTATCTTATTTTTTACAAGGTCAGGCAAATCATTAATATACAGAATGAATAGGAGAGGGCCTAGAACTGACCCCTGAGGAACACCAGATAAAACATGTTTAACCTCGGACCATTGTCCTTCTACAGAAACCCTCATAGTCCTGTCTGTCAGAAAATCTTTAATAACATCTAAAACCTTTCCTTTGACACCAAAGCCTTCCAATTTAGACAAAGGTCTAAAGTGGGGGACTGTGTCGAACGCCTTACTAAAATCAAAGTATAGAAGATCAACCGGGGCACCTTCATCTAAAATGTCAAGAATGTCATCAAATGTCTCTAAAAGATTAGATAAACACGATTTACCCTTAACAAATCCATGCTGATGCTTCGAAATTCGATGTTCTAGAAAATTTAAAACATGTGCTCTCACCAACTTTTCATACACTTTGCACAAAATACAAGTTAATGAAACTGGTCTATAATTTAAGGGGTCTGATTTAATACCCTTTTTAAACAATGCTACAACAGATGCAGATTTCCACACTGCAGGTAAAGATCCTGTATCTGAACACTTTTGAAATAATTTAGTTATTGCTTCAACAAAATTGTTGTCATAAGCTAGCGATTTCAACAACTTCGGATGAACACCATCCGGACCAGAACTCTTAAAAATGTTAAGCTTTAAAAGTTGCTTTTTTATATCAGAACTGTTGACTTCCATATCATCAATATCATCAATACTCTCATTGTCAGGTCTTAAATTCTCAGTTTTAGGGAGAGGGCCAGGTGGTTCACGCACAAAAACAGAGCTAAAGGCACTTGCGAGTACCTCAGCTGACTCAGTCGAACTATCTGTGCGTGTACCATCTCCTCTATCTAAAGAAACCACACTAGACTTAACTTGACGTTTATTTCGTAAATAAGAGTAAAAAGACTTACAATTCTGCTTCAGATTAGATGTAATTTTCTTTTCATAATTAACTTTAGCTTTAATTTCTGCTAATTCATAAGTATGTTGTTTGCTACTTGCATAACTAAAATTAACATCAGATGGATTAATATCAAACTCAGCCCATGCTTTATCTTTATTCTTTCTCATTCGTTTAAGTGCAGATGTACTCCATGGCAACTTGACAGGTCTGTTGTCGAGATAAACCGAAGCAGTCGGAACAGCTGCAGCAACAGTCTCCAGTTTACCATGTAATTCAGCCCACATATCTTGAACATCATTGGTAGAACTATAATCCCAGTCGATATTTTTCAAACTAAAATTTAATAACTCTTCAGAGGAAATCTTACCCCATATAGGTTTGATAATCTTCTCTTTTAAACATTTGCTAGTATCCGGCGAAACAACTAGTTCGACAAGTATCCCAACATGATCACTCTTACCAAGCGGAGAAACGATCTTACAACCGTTGACAAGAGCATCATTTGTATACAGGACCTGATCAAGCAGACTCTCCTGGAGAGTATCCTTCACAAGCCGTCTTCTAGTTGTCTCGTTGGTGAAATACCAAGTTAAACCACTGTCATTGAAAACATCCATGAATTTCTGTTGAGTAACTAAAAACTGGTTCTTGCTAGCAATATTACTATTTATGCTACCAGTTTCCCATAAAACATTTGGTAAATTAAAATCTCCTAAAAGGAGTGTTTCAAAATCATTCCTTTCACTACAGATGCTCTTGATACAAGATATTAACGCATTATTCTGTTCTAAATTCAATGAAGTGGATCTGTAAATACAACAAATACTAATCAGTCCACCTGATGTGTTGATATTAACAGCTAAAGAATCCGGTGCCTTTAAAAAAGAGTTCACTAGTGAAGCATGTGGGTCGTTTGAATGTGGGACAATTTTGAAAAATTTGACTGAGGTACTAGCAAAACTGCACGTTTTGCTCTAGAAACACACTTTTTTAGAGATTTTACCATCTGAGTATCCTCTAAAATTACCTGATTTGTTCAATTTTAGGGAGAGGCGCCAAAAGGGGAGGGGGCGCCGACAGGGGGGCGCATTTTCGGCGGGGGGGGGGGGGTTTGCCAACAGGCAATGTTATGCCACTGCCCTTACTCACCCATACAGTTAGCTGAACCCTTTTGAAATAAGGTTCTCATATATTTCATTGTATTGTTGTAAGCTGCTTATTTCCCTAGGAACCAGGACACATTTATGGGATGAGCTAAAAAGCACACAGATCATGGCACTGTAAAGGTTAAACTTTAGAATCAGAATAATAAACAATAAATATCTTGAATCAAACAGAACACTTGAATTAACGAAGTCCTATATTCTGATGCACGAGTGTCAACCGATGCCCCTCGATTGGAGAAAGCATGTTGAAATGAACACCTTCCAGGGGTTTTCAGACATGCTATAAATGTGCTTTGCTGATAAAGATGCCTGAAAAGTAATTGGCCTGTTTTAATGCTGCCGAACACAAGCTAAGTCAACTTACAGGGAATATATCAAACTTGATAATAGTATGTCAACATCGCATAATATAGTGTATATAGTGTCGGTCAACAACAATTATTACTGTATGGTGTCAGAAAGGGAAAATTTAAACAACAGCGCTCAATTTGTACAGTGTGGTCTAAG